ACAGTTCTGTAAAGAGGAATGGTCAAGAATTACTCCTGACCATTGTGCATGTCTGATCTGCAACTACAGGAAACGTTTGGTTGAAGTTATTGCTGCCAAAGGAGGTTCAACCAGTTATTAAATCCAAGGGTTCACATACTTTTTCCACCTGCACTGTGAATGTTTACATGGTGTGTTCAATAAAAACATGGCAACATTTCATTCTTTGTGTGTTATTAGTTTAAGCAGACTGTGATTGTCTATTGTTGTGACTTAGATGATGATCAGATCACATTTTATGACCAATTTGTGCAGAAATCCATATCATTCCAAAGGGTTCACATACTTTTTCTTGCAACTGTAGTTCAGTGTAATAGTTGTTATGCATTTGTTTCACATTCCACTTTTTGGAGATTTGGATGCTGTCTAATCTCTAGACAGTTCTCTATTTTGCGGCAGGAGATTGTATTTTTGAAGTCTGAGATTCATAAATTATCTGGTAAACAAACTCATGCTGGAACTGCTGCAAACCCACTGCCGCAGAGATGTACTAGGAATGGCAGATGGATTACTGTAGGATCTGGTAGACTTAGAGTTGTGGATAAAAGGCATATTGCACAGTCTGTTACTCTACTGAGGGTAGTGGTGTTGTGGAGACAGGCTCAGGCACTGAGGATAATGGTGTTGTGGAGACAGGCTCAGGCACTGAGAGTAGTGGTGTTGTGGAGACAGGCTCAGGCACTGAGAGTAGTGGTGTTGTGGAGACAGGCTCAGGCACTGAGGGTAGTGGTGTTGTGGAGACAGGCTCAGGCACTGAGGGTAGTGGTGTTGTGGAGACAGGCTCAGGCACTGAGGGTAGTGGTGTTGTGGAGACAGACTTGGAGACTATGGTGAGGCCTAATAGAAAGCAGTTGTTGTTGGGGGATTCCATCATAAGAGATGTGGAGATGGACAATGGTGGTCTTGTGAGATGTCTTCCCGGAGCTACTGCTCACAGAGACAGGAGACGTAGTTGTAATATTGTTAAGCGAGCAAAGCAGGAAGGGGAATTGGATGTACTTGTCCATCTAGGGACAAATGACTTGGCATGCAATGAGGTTTCAGAGGTTAAGGAAGTTTTTAGTGTTTTTGCCAATGATATACGGCAGGTTGCTTCCACACTGTCATTCTCTGAAGTTCTGCCTGAACGACAGGCGGATGCATATTAGGGACTTTAACTTGTGGCTTGGTGAATGGTGTCGGGAGCAAGGATTTGGCTTTATTTCTCATGGTAGCTCTGTTTGGAATGGAAATAAACTGTACAAAAAAGATGCATCTTTCTCAAAAGGGAACAAATGTTCTCAGTGAGCAGTTCAGAGGTTTTGCTAGGATGTATTTAAACTAGGAGGGCAGGGGGGCAAAAGGGTAATAAAACATCAATCCAATTGCCCCCCAAAACAAGGACAGAAGGTGCCTTTAGCAAGTGTGTTAAAAAAATGATAAGCTTAGAGTCATGTCTACAAATGCTCGCAGTTTAGGGCAACTGATAATGTAGATTTAGTCGCTGTTACTGAGACATGGTATAATGAGAAAAATGACTGGGACATAGTAATACCAGGGTACTCTTTATATAGAAAATACAGGGAAGGCAAGAAAGGGGGAGGGGTGACCCTGTATGTGAAGGATAGCATAAAATCTAGCCTAATAAAAGTTAGTGAGGCGAACATAGAGTCCGTTTGGGTTATGTTAGACTTTGGTAATCACACAGTAACTCATGTAGGTGTGATTTATAGGCCCCCAGGACAAATAGAAGAGTTAGATAATCTACTAGTTGAGAAAATAGCTAAAATGACAATGAAGTTATCATCATGGGTGACTTTAATATTCCTGATGTGAATTGGAAAACAAAATTAGCTGCTTGTGCCAGGAGCATACATATTCTAAACTCCCTACTGGGATTGTCTCTAAAACAAGTCGTTGAGGAGCCAACTCGTAAAGAGGCCATACTAGATTTAGTGTTAACAAATAGAGATTTGGTATCAGATATTACTGTAGGTGAAAGTTTAGGATCCAGTAATTATCAGTTTGGTTTAATATAAGAACAGTGACTGAGTCACACCACACAAAAACAAAAGTTTTAGACTTTAAAAAAACAGACTTCTCTAAAATTAGAGTATGTGTAAAGGAGTCATTATCAGATTGGAGCAATTTAAATGGAGTCCAAGAGAAATGGGATCATTTAAAAGTTGCATTGCTGAAGGCAACAGAAAATTGCATTAGCCTTGTCAGTAAAAGCAAAAAATTAAAAAAAAGATCCACTGTGGTACTCTGCAGATGTGGCCAAATTAGTAAAAAAAAACTAAAAGCTAGCATTTAGTAATTATAAAAAAACCCAGAGTGAGGAAGACAGAATGCACTATAAGATTAGGCAGAAAGAGGCTAAACAAGTTATAAGAGCTTCCAAATCTCACACAGAAGAGAAAATAACACAGTCAGTAAAAAAAGGGGACAAAACATTTTTTAGATACATAAATGAGAAAAGGAAAGTAAAACAAGGATTGGTTAGATTAAAAACAAAAGAAGGCAGGTATGTAGTTGAGGATAAAGGTCTAGCTGACTGCCTCAATGAATATTTTTGTTCAGTATTTACAGAGGGAAATGAAGGAAAGGAACCTCAGTTAGGAAAAAGGACAAATAAGTAATTTATTACATGTGAGTTTACAGAGGAGGAGGTTCTATTTCAACTGTCAAAAGTAAAGGCAAATAAGTCAATGGGACCTGATGGAATACACCCACAGTTATTAAAAGAGCTTAGTGGTGTACTAGCAAAACCATTAACAGATTTATTTAACCAATCATTGTTAACAGGAGTAGTCCCAGAAGATTGGAAGTTAGCGAATGTTGTGCCCATTCAAAAGAAAGGTAGTAGGGAGGAGTCGGGCAACTATAGGCCAGTAAGCCTTACTTCAGTAGTGGGCAAAGTAATGGAAACCATGTTAAAGGATAGGATTGTTGAACATCTAAAAATACATGGATTTCAAGATCAGAGACAACATGGGTTTACTTCAGGGAGCTACTGGCTGAGTGACAGGCAACAGAGGGTCGTAGTCAATGGAGTATATTCGAAGCTTGGGCTTTTCACCAGTGGGGTACCTCAGGGATCTGTACTTGGACCCATTCCCTTTAATATTTTTATTAGTGATATTGAAGAAGGTCTTGATGGTAAGGTATCTCTTTTTTGCTGATGATACTAAGATATGTAACAGGGATGATGTTCCAGGAGGGATAAGCCAAATGGCAAATGATTTAGGTAAACTAGAAAAATGGTCAGAATTGTGGCAACTGACATTTAATGTGGATAAGTGCAAGATAATGCATCTTGGACGTAAAAACCCAAGGGCAGAGTACAGAATATTTGATAGAGTCCTAACCTCAACATATGAGGAAAGGGATTTAGGGGTGATTATTTCTGATGACTTAAAGGTAGGCAGACAATGTAATAGAGCAGCAGGAAATGCTAGCAGAATGCTTGGTTGTATAGGGAGAGGTATTAGCAGTAGAAAGAGGGAAGTGCTCATGCCATTGTACAGAACACTGGTGAGACCTCACTTGGAGTATTGTACACAGTACTGGAGACCGTATCTTCAGAAGGATATTGATACCTTAGAGAGGGTTCAGAGAAGGGCTACTAAACTGGTTCATGCGGGATAAAACTTACCAGGAAAGGTTAAAGGATCTTAACATGTATAGCTTGGAGGAAAGACGAGACAGGGGGGATATGATAGAAACATTTAAATATATAAAGGGAATCAACACAGTAAAAGAGGAGACTATATTTAAAAGAAGAAAAACTACCACAACAAGAGGACATAGTCTTAAATTAGAGGGACAAAGGTTTAAAAATAATATCAGGAAGTATTACTTTACTGAGAGGGTAGTGGATGCATGGAATAGCCTTCCAGCTGAAGTGGTAGAGGTTAACACAGTAAAGGAGTTTAAGCATGAGTGGGGTCATAAGGCTATCCTAACTATAAGATAAGGCCAGGGACTAATGAAAGTATTTAGAAAATTGGGCAGACTAGATGGGCCAAATGGTTCTTATCTGCCGTTACATTCTATGTTTCTATGTTTCTATTAACATAATACTGATTATATGTATTTAATATAATAGTAAATAAGTGTATAATGGTTTTATATATACAAGCGTATATAATGTATATATTTGTCTCTGGACTTAGTAATCCATCCCCATCCTTGCTGGGAGACTTTATTGCTTTGTTTACATAAAGCATTCCTAAGCTCAGCCTGGTTTGGCTAATTACAGAAAGCAAGGAAATTTTGTGTCTGTCTTTGTTAGCCTGAATCCAAAATGGAGTCCGTTCTGTTCTGAGTGAATCTGGCAATATACACTTTTAATTTCTATCTTAGCACAAAATGTCTGCCGATATAAATATTCTGACAATATGTATATCGTATACCAATTTTTGTCTTTGTGTTAAATTGTGTGTGGAACAAAGGGTAATACACACTAGTGTACAGAGCTGCTATATACACATTTCACTATAAGCATTATTTTTGTGACACACACTCTCCCGAAAGGAGATTTTCATTCTATTGATGTCTTGAGTGAATTTGTACATTGTTGTATGTAAATACGAATAATTAGAATAGTTTTCTGAAAGTGAACATCAGACACAGGAGTCCGACCTTTTTATTCTAGCAGATATAGCTGAATATTGGTGCTGGCTGCAGTTCTGTTTGAGCGTGACGTCAAGACCATCTATGTATCTGTGTTCTTCTATAGACAGCGTTTAGACCAGATATTATGGACTACATCTTCCATAATGCTGGCAAAGCATCAAGGGAGATGTAGTCCACAGCATCTGGAGTGCGGAAGGTTGCCTATCCCTGACTTACTATAGTCCAGGAGTGGCTGTAATCTCGGCCAAGCCATGCTTTTTCCCGCAGTGACTAATTTCACGACTGTATTATATACTTACAAGAGATTATCTTTATAACATTCTGCTTATCCTGATTGCAGGATGGATACGTTTCTCAATCAGTGGCTATGGAGACAGGAGTATTGGCTCCCTCCGGGGGTGACTTGGGAAGACATGAAAGAGACAGAGGAGACTCAGTACCCGGAGCCTCGAGATTTACTTCTCGCCATTCCTTGTGCTTTTCTTTTCACCGCAGTCCGATTCCTGTTTGAGAAGTAAGATCTGACTACATTTGATGCATTCGCTTCATCAGTGTGTTTAATGCAAAAAATAAATTAAACATTTGGGAATTTTCTTTTGAGAACTTTAGATCATGATTTATTTTTTTCATCACTGAAGCATAAACAGCTTGAAGAACAGCATGGGACGTATAGCTTGGAAATATTAAAAAGTTTAGTAAATCCTATAAAAACTAATATTACTAAAGTTATTGGCTGGTTCCAGCAACATTATTTTAATGACTGCATTCATATATACTGCTGTTTTACAATCCCAAATGTCAGAAATTTTAGTTGCACCTCATTTAACACCATTCTATTTTAAAGATGTTAATCCACACTATCTCGGATTTTGAGACCCTTTCAATACAGCGGGTTAGGTTCTAGATTACTGCTTGTAAAGTGAATACCTATGGAAAGTGAATCACCATTTTTTTTTATTTGTTAGTGCACATAAAAGCCTTAAAACATGTTTACAAAATCATATATTATATGTAGATGAAGTGGCCAATAGCTCTAGACCAAAAAACTATTTAAAAGTAAAAAAGATAAAATAATAAATAAAAGAAATTATACCACTGAACATATAGGCTCATTTTAAATGACATCTTGGCACGAAAAGTATTGCAGGGGTGGGCAGTATATTACATTAGTGACACCGCAGGGGGTGTACAGACATTCATGTACGTTTCTCTGCTGGTAACTATACTATTTGCATGCCTTTTTGCTTGTGAACCTTTGCTGCCTGGACCAACCTCTTGCTAGATCTGACTACAATGGATTCTCCTTGCCTGTTGCTACACACCTATTTTGTGTTAGTCAGCGTCGATGCACGTTTTTTTTGTCTACACAGATGAAGATGCGGTTTGCCACCCCCACCCCCCCAAAATTCGTCTTCATCTCTGTCTCTTAATCCGCTTTTTGACCCTATTACCCATCCTATTGCCCCCTTTGTGTGTCTTATCCTTTTTTATGTTCCCCTCTTTTGTAGTCTCCTACCTTCTCTTATGTCTCTTATACCCCTTTAGTGTACCATAACCAACCTTTTGCACTTTTGTGTGTCTCTCACAACACCCCATGTCTCTTCCATCCTCCTTCTTTGTGTCTCTTACAACCCCCCAGTATCCCTTATACCCGTCAGTGTCTCTTACTGTCTGCTAGTGTCTCTAATAACTCCACTCCAGAATCTCTTACAACCCTGTTCCCAGTGTCACTTAGTCACCCACATCCATTGTTTCTTACATTCCATCTCCAGTGTCTCTAGTGTTCAATGTAAAAGGGATCGCTGGACTGTTATTACTTTGATACACAAATTGACACAAACACAGAAAATATGTTTGGTATGCACATCTTTCCAATAATAAATACAGGTACCCATATATTATGCAATATTACATATTATGTGTCAATAAACACAGGCACATATATGTATCTTATTTCATTATTTGTATTTCAGCATGTGTCTTCAAGAAAATAAAGAAATAGTGAAATGGTATGAATTTGGAAAAGATATTATTTTGACCTTAAATTTAAAATTCACATTGATTTCTCTCCTTGTACCCTGTTGGAGTATATCAGGATACCTCAAATCCTCATACACTGTACACTTGTTTGAGCAGTACCCTTTTTACCTCTTCCCCTTTCCATAATTGTAAAGCACATCAGCATATGTTGGTAATATATAAATGCTTTAAAGGACCACTATAGTGCCCTGAGGGTGCCCCCACCCTCAGGGTCCCCCTCCCGCCGGGCTCTAGGTTGAGGAAGGGGTTAAACGTACCTCTTTCTCCAGCGCCGGGCCGGGAGCTCTCCTGCTCCTCTTCTCCTCCTCCTCCTCCTCCTCGGCTGATTGCGCATGCGCGGCAGGAGCCACGCGCGTATTCAGCCAGTCCATAAGAAAGTATTCACAATGCTTTCCTATGGATGCTGGCGTCTTCTCACTGTGATTTTCACAGTGAGAAGCATGCAAGCGCCTCTAGCGGCTGTCAGGAGACAGTCACTGGAGGCTGGATTAACCCATTTATAAACATAGCACTTTCTCTGAAAGTTGAAGTGGTCTGGGTGCCTATAGTGGTCCTTTAAATGCTAATAAGTAAAGCATATCATGAGGGTAAATAATGAGTTCAGGTGCTTTATTGCAAATATATAGGTATTCACATAATTCAATAAGTAATTTAGAGCCAGAACAAATGATTTTACTTGCCAAAACATAAACAAGCTTAGAACAGTTTAAACACACCCTACTGTTACAATACACCCTAATGATTATTTACAAAAGTGTGAAAAGTCAGGAATACAAAACTAATTTGAAATTTGACTATTTTCACCTACAATTTGAAATCATTTTTACTTGATTGATTTTTTTTTATTTTTTTGCTGTGATGCTTATTTGCACCAACATCCTGGATTCCTACAAAGAATAGAATACATACTGTATGTATCAGATGATATCATGCTTTCATTATAATTGTATGCTGAGATTTGGCCTTCATGGTTCTGTACACCGAGTAGTAAGTTTCCACTGTCTTAGTCAATATTTAACCGATAAGATGTGAGCTTGAATTAATAAAAAATGCCAGTCATTAGCAGAGTCTTAAAAGCTCCACACCTCTTCATTACTAATGTGTCAATAGTTCCCAGAGGCAGAGGCTCAAGGCAATTTCTCTTGGTAGACATACACCATTTTTATCCAAGTGTATTCTTAAGCACATGTATGTTTTGTCCCTCATTAAAATGAAAGGTGACTATATGGTTTCGAAAGCATCACCAGTAAAAATAAGCCAGCCAACCTGGTGAATTACAGAAGGACCATGTCTGGCCGGCCCCCAATCTACAAAACCTTGCAGAGAGCACTACTAAAGGGCTCTTTGAAGGGTCCTAATGACAAGATGGAGTCACCCAATCAGACAGAGAATAGGAAAACCTTTGGTAAGTATGATGTAAGAGAAACAGTGAGATTCTGTATACTAGACATTAGAGTAGCCGGGTTTAACGTGTGCCCAAGATAGGCAAAAATACACTGTCCAAACGTAAGTCAGATGTACTGATAAACAAAATAACAAGCTGGGATCAGGAATACCAGAAAAGCAGTATAGTCTAAACTAAGATGGGTCAGCAACAGGAACACTAATACACTCTGAAACCACTTTCGGGTAATAGAAACCACAACAAGGGTAATTACCACAAGATATATATATATATACATATCTACATCATGCTATTGGACAGCATCATCACCCTGTGCCAAATCACACAAAAGGATGGGACCTGACAATAGAGCCACAGTTATGACTCTATAAATTTCATCTATAATAATACACATTATTGCAGGGTCCTGAAACTGTAAGGACTCCTGCACTGTGGGCAGGGTTGCCATAGAAACCCGACAAGCTTGTGTGACGTGCAGACCCAATATTTCAATCATCATTATGTTTTGAAGAGTGAGACATCCCACTCCCTAAAACAGACTTAATATGTAACACCAATTTTCAATGTAAAAGGGACATTTAAAGTAGGGTATTACTGTTGATTTATAAAGAGGCACAGTTATATTTTTATCCAGTTTATTAATACTCCTTTTTATTATATGCCAATCCTTCCTAGCCTTAGCAACTGCTATCTGACATTTCATATTGTTGCTTAGTATCAGCAGAAATGTGATTCATTGCTACATTCTAGCATAACAGGAGGTAAATTTTTGTTTAATTTCAAGGCGATTCTCTTTTCACAATCATTGACACGCTTCTTAATATAATTTCACTTCTCTCTGCTTATAAACAATGTTCGATTGTCTTGGCACATTCTACTTGTAACTTAGCGTTTCTCTGTATTCTTATTGAATGCTGGCTTGTCTGAATTATCATCTTTTTTGGCTTCTCTGACTGTTTTCGAGTTACTGGTTCCCTTTGTCTTCTACCAGCTTCGAACCTGGCCTTTTTCCTGAGATTCCTGTTTTTTGTTTTTTTGTTTGTTTGTTTACTATTGAGACACTTGACTTAAAATAATTTAATTCATTTTTAAAATCACTTTTCGTTAGGTATACCTCCGATGAAAACATACATGCATTTAAGTATACCGTTTTTCATTGGACGTATATCTAAAAATAGCTTGCAAAACCTGAACTTCTCTTGTCTGCTGCCTTTGTAAGCCCTCCTCTTCTAGCCCCACCCATATGTTCTGTGACTGTCCAATCACAGACTTCCCAATGCAGCTCAATGAGAAGTCTTTGCAAGACAGGTTTAGGTCTATTGAAATCATCCCTTTTTGTAAAATGAAAAAATGACACATTCTTTACACACAAATACATCAGCAAGATAGTGCTTTAGGTGTTCGACCTAGGGATGCAAGTTTAAGCAAATGGCCTCTCATTGCGTCATTGCGTGCAAATCTTACAGATCCCAGTGTGGATGTTATTATGTTTGCAGATGCATGCAGTATATGTATATGACAGATTGATCCTGCTAGAGTTGTGAGAAGTGACCTCACATATCCCTGCAACCTCCATCAGTATGACCTGCTCAGCATGATGGAACCTTAAGACAGAGACACTTTAGAGACACAGACTCTGTTTCCCTTGACTCATGTGTATGTGTAATCTCATTTTGTGTTCACTTGTAAACACATCCAGAACATCATACATACTCATCATAGTGAGGAAGACTGGTCAGCCTCAGACACTGCCATTTTCTAGGAAATATCCCAGTAGACCAGTGCAGACATTTAGAGTGTGGGTCACCAGTCCATGCACAAATCCACTGTCACATCATGCCATGTTCTGCAGAGATGTCTGGCCTTGGCTTCTGGTATCCAGTACTCTTTTTACAATTCTTGTTTTGTTTTTCTTGTTTTTTATGGTTTTCTATCCCATGTCTGGTTTTCTTTATGCTGGGTTTTCTGGGTTCATTCCTGTATTCCGTCCCGGGAATTCCCAGTCTCCAGGGTTCCTTTTAAATGTTTGTTTTATATTGCCACACTCGTTCCTTTTCTATGATTCCTTTTGTTTCAGTTGGAGCCTGCAGGCAGTTGCTCATACCTTCTGTCCTTTCTTGCAGGTAAATGTTATATGTGTTTCTTATGGTTCTTTTAGCATACATTAGGAAGAGTAGGACCTGCCAGATATGGGGTATATTGGCGTTGTTGGCAGGCTTATGCAATGTATGATCATATATTGCATAAGCCTGCCAACAACGCCAAGGTCTGTTTAACCCCGTAATGACAGAGGTAATTGTCAACGTTCTGACCCAAAACAAATCCTAGAATTTGTTTGTTCCATCGTAATTTAAAGGGACACTATAGTCACCAGAACAACTACAGCTTATTGAATTTGTTCTGGTGAGTAGAATCATTCCATTCTGCTTTTTGCAGTAAACACTGCAAAAAGCTTTTCAGAGAATGTGCAGTGTTTACATTACAGCCCAAGGATAACTCAGGATAATCAGATGGCTGCAAGAGGTGCTTCCTGGGGCAGTGCTGCACACTGTGCCCATGATACATATTTTAAGTGCCCAAATACATATGATATATTGAATTTTAAAAGATGACTTTCTTTTTATATCCCTATATATATGCCTAACACAAAATGAAGTGTGAATAGAATGTCAGAAACTAAAAAAAAAGAAACAATTTTTTTCACATTTCTGCTCATAATAATTTTTACACATCTTACCAGCTTATCTTTAGGGGTTAAACCGTTCACAAGCAGTTGTTTAACCCCAAAGTCTTCTCTCCAAAGCCATTTAGCTCTGCCCTTGCCCTTCTGCTGGTCTAAGACTCTTCAAACAGGAAGCCTTGGACTGCTGCGGACAGGAGCACCGCTGATTGGCTGAGAGCGTAAGCTGACGCTCTAAGCCAATCAACTGTGCCCCTGTCCGGCGGCAGTGTGTAGGAGTTGGGGGAGATGGAGGACCTCTAAGGTAAGAGAGGGGGAGACCACTGAGGGACAAGGAGTGGAGTGGAGCACTGAGGGACAGGGAAGAGAGAGGAGAAACCACTAAGGGGCAGGGGAAAGCTCGGAGGGGACATCTCTAAGGGAGGGGAGGAGAGAGCACTAAGGGACAGAGGAGTAGGGGAGAACATTAAGGAACAGGGGAGATCACTTAGGGACAGGAGGGATGGTGAGAGCACTAAGGGACAGGAGGAGGGAGCTCTGAGGGATGGGTGGAGAGAGCACTAATGGACTGGAGGGAAAATCACTGAGGGACAGGGGGGCAAGGGAGAGCACTAAGGGACAGGAGGGGAGGGGAGAGCACTAAGGGACAGGAGGGAGGAGCTCTGAGGGACAGGTGGGGAGAGCACTAATGGACTGGAGAGGAGGGGATATCACTAAGGGACAGGAGGGGAGGGAAGAGCACAAAGGGACAGGAGGGGAGGGGAGAGCACTGAGGGACAGGAGGGGAGATGACTAATACACAAACACACAGTGCATCCCTATACACACACACACACACAGAAACACACAGTGCATCCCTTATGCACACACACTGCTTCTCTTACACACAGAAACAAAATGCATCTCTTACACACACTCAATGCACCCTTTACAGACACACACTGCATTACATTACATACACAGAAACACACCTTGCATTTCTTTACACATACAAACACAGAAACACACAATGCACCAAGGCTACTAGGTTTCTGGAAGTCTGTTGAAGACCTGTTGAGACAAACGTTTGATAGACCCCTGAAAATGGACCCGTGGATTTATTTGTTGAATACATCAATTGATGGATGGACCAAAAGGGAGCAGAAGTTGGTACACAAAATCACACTGTGTGCGCGCAGAGCAATAGCGTCAGCATGGCTTACATTAGAGGGCCCGGAATTCGCGGGGGTTATACCTAGAATTAAAGAATGTAGAGTGATGGATGACCTAACGGAAAGGGTGAGAGGAAATGTCTCGACGTTCCATAAAATTTGGGAACCTTGGGACAATAGTGTAGTTGGCTCGAGAGGAGAATGAGAGCCCCCCCCCCGCCCAAGTACGATTCGTAACGGAAACCATCACTGCTAGCGGGGTCTCCTGTGCTGGCGGGGTTGCTGCTTTTTGACCCTTCCCCGTTTGCCCCCCCCCCCTCCTTTTCTCCCTCTTCTAAACCTCCCTCTAATTTACTGCACACTTTTTCCTATCTATCTCCTTTTTTTTTCTCCTCTTTTCTTTCCTTTTTCTTTGTTTTTATTTTTTAATTTTTTTCCAGGCTAGGTCATACGGTGGGAGGAAAATGTAACAATGACACGACACTGATTAGCACATCTGATTGATAGCTGTCATTTGTACCTACTTGTTTCATGATGTGCATATATCCTCTCCATAGTTGGCAAACGCCTAATGTACAATGAGAAATGGGTTGGCACTGATAGAGCGGAGTGGTACTTGATTGCTCCTATCTGGCATAGCAGTTATTTAGCTTATACATAGGCCCAGCTGGGATCACATGCCTGTTATAGATAAGGAGCTCATAGACTACAAGATATCTACTTAACCGGCAGATGCCAGCAGTATGGCAAGGTTGGAGCTTATTCAGTGTGCCCAAAGGAATTGTACCTTAATTGACTTATTTATCAGCCTTAAAAGGGATTGGGCAAAAGACGTTTTTTCTGTGAATATATTGTTTATAATTGCATAAAAATAAAAATCCTCAGTAGACGGCAAGTGCCAATGGCTCAATTACGAATGGGCATATACTGTAATTGTCAAGCTGTATTATGTATACTATTATTATTACCCTGGCTTATGCATAAGCCCAAAGTCGTTAATAACTTGCTATGTCTGTTGAGTAAAAATAAAGAATTAAAAAAAAAAGAAACACACAATGCATTCCTTACACACAAACACACACTGCATACGCTACATCCCTTACACAGATTAGTATCCCTAAACACTACATTCCATAAGAATGCACACACATTACATCCTCTGCAATAACACATCCCCTACACACATACACTCCACTCCCTGTGAGTAAACTCATCGGTGGTCCATGTAGGTGGACTTATGGGGGGTCCTTGTAGGCATACTCACGGTCAGGCCCTGGGGGCCCAGACCTAAAGCTGTGTAAGGGGCCCCCAAAAAAGGAGCTGCTTTTTGTTCATTGATTTTTGTGAGCACTGTTACAAACAGTCTCCAGAGAGCCTCTTTTACACCAGATCGGTGGAGCCAGACTGCAACCTTATCCCATTATCATTCTCTTGTCCTCATCTTGTGGTAAGTAGGCATTCCAGTATATTATTAGTGGCATTAAAGGACCACTATAGTGCCAGGAAAACATACTTGTTTTCCTGGCACTATAGTGCCCTGAGGGTGCCCCCACCCTCAGGGACCCCCTCCCGCCCAGCTCTGGAAGGGGGAAAGGGTTAAAAACTTACCTTTTTCCAGCGCTGGGCGGAGAGCTCTCTGCCTCCTCTCCTCCTCCGATTCCCTCCGTCGCCGCACTGCTTGAGCTGCATTCAGGTCCTCATAGGAAAGCATTTACAATGCTTTCCTATGGACGCTAGCGTGCTCTCACTGTGAAAATCACAGTGAGAAGCACGCAAGCGCCTCTAGTGGCTGTCAATGAGACAGCCACTAGAGGGAATGGGGGAAGGCTTAACCCATTCAGAAACATAGCAGTTTCTCTGAAACTGCTATGTTTATTAAAAAATGGGTTAACCCTAGAAGGACCAGGCACCCAGACCACTTCATTAAGCTGAAGTGGTCTGGGTGCCTAGAGTGGTTCTTTAATCTCTAATTTACCTCACATTAAAGGTACACTATAGTCACCAGAACCCTCTACAGCTTAATGAAGTGGTTCTGGTGTCTATAGCCTATCCATGCAGGCTTTTTAGATAAAAGACAGTGTGTGTGCAGAACTGGCGTTGGCCCATTTGGCAGATCATATGGGTGGGCATTGTGATGTCACATGGTGGGCAGAACATATGGGAGAGGTGGCAAATTTTTGTTTTCCTAGGGCTGCAAAAATCCTTCCACCGGCCCTGGCTGTTCTATGAGAACTCTGGAATGTGGTAATTTGGGGGTATTGTCCTTATATGGCTAGGGTTATATTTAAAAGGTCTGACGTCATAATGGTCATATCTATATAGAATTGGGGACTTGCTGCTTGCTGCACAAGGTTGTTTTCTTGTCCGGCAGTTTAATTATGTTGACTAGCTCTCCCTTCAGGAGTCCAGCAGTAACCATCTGCTGTTGAACATCCATTATCCCGTAACATCCTTTGTTGTTTTATTATGTATCAGTAACTGTAAGACTAAATCTGAAGAAACCGTAAGTCAGATTGCAGATCAGTATTTTTGATTAATAAAGATGTATATTAACATGGCAAGCCTTTTACCCAAGAAGAAATATACATAAAATAATTATTTTAATCAACCGGAAAAACACGCAGATGAAAATTTTTATTACATTAAGTGACCACCTAATTTTATTACAAATACCACATAGTAGATGCCACACAAAGCTCTCAGTTGAAGCACCCGGAAATGGTGCTTGTACACTGACCCTACCGCTTTCTGAAAATTTACACAAAAAATATTTTGTATTCCTTTACAAATGATTAGCAGCAACCAGTGAGCCACCCGGTAATCATTGCATTGGCCACCAATAGGCCATTCTTGTTTCTAACTTCCACAGAAGCATAATGTTAAAGTCCCAACCTGGGACAGCAGGGCAAGGGCCTGAGATTGTGACTGTCATGCCAGTTTCAGGCCACTTTGAAGGTGTGGTTAGGGATACCAACAGCTAGGCAATAGAATTTCGGCTGTGAATTTCCTTGTGTGATGGCTTGGGAATACATATATCTTCTTAGTATTTTTTTTTTATCCTGGTATAATGCATTCCTAGCATTTACAGGACACATCTTACAGGGCTAAAGAGTCTTTCTGTATGGACTTTGATGCATTTTTGGCAGTGTAAGGGGGCCCTGTGTGTATTTTTACATTCTGATATCTCTCGCAGTCATTTGACCTGAAAGGGCTCACTTTTGGCACCAAATGTAGAAAATTGTAAATTGTAAAGCAGTTGCTAAAAATAGCACCAAATGTGTTAAATGACGAAGAGTCTTTGGTGTCTCACATGCAGTGCTAATTGACTGTGCCCTTCACAACAGCCATGAGCAGCTGTGATGTGAATAATTTATCATACAGTGCAACTATTCATCTCACGCACTCATTTGTGACTCTGTGCACTGTACCATGTAGCCTCCAATTCAATATGAACACATTCTTTTGTATTTTATTTATTTTTATTTTGGTCACACAACTTTTGATGGTGATATCTAAAAATCAATTTTTTTTGCTTTGAAGATCATTAAACCAGTTTCAAAGATCCATACAGAGGAGTTTGTTCACTAACACAGAATTGTAATAAATTTATAGTATATTCACCAATGATGACTGCTCCGCTTACAGTGCGTTGGGTGCAGGGGAAGGTGAGTTTTACTTACCTAAATCTGTCCCTCATCGCATCACGGCCACCGCCATCATCATCTGGAAAGTCCTCTTCAGCTCTTGGTGCTTCAATTGCCAGGAGCCCACATCAATGTTGTACTCTCGTGCATGTAACCCTTCTGAACTTGCAACCCTTCTTCCCCTGCCCAGACTTTCTGTGGCTGTCCAATCACAGATTTCCCAATGCGGTTCAGTGAGAAGTCTTTGCAAGACAGGTCCTCTGAGCAATTGCTGCCCCATGAGTTTAGCTCAATTGAGCTAACCAAACCAGGAAGTAACAGGACCAGTTGTCTGATTGCGCTGTAACAAGGTAAATGTATAAAAGTGTAAATTTCTATTGAAAATGAAAAGAGAGGACACACTCTTCACACATAAGGCACTCCAGCAAGCTAAAGTATTTCAGGAGTGTACTTTTAAATTCCTTGTGCTGCTTGCAGTCCACTAATTTATCCTAATGTTTATGTAGGGAAATAAAAACCTGAATAAATGTTATTTTAATTATTATGTTATTATATAAAGAGAACACCTAAGCAGCGAGCCTGCATGGTGGAGCTGATGGAAGCACCGTTGACTTGGATGGAGACAGACACAGGAGTAACAACACTTGAGGGAGCAAAGACCAGAATTTCAGTTTTGGTCAAGTTTAGTTTAAGGAAGTGTTCAGTCATTCAGTTAGAAATAGCAGAGAGGCAGTCAGAGACACTAGTCAAGAGGGATGGGGAGAAATCAGGAGAGGACAGATAGATTTGTGTGTCATCCGCATAGAAATGCTATTGGAAGCCAAAGGAGCTAATGAGTTTACCAAGGGAGGCAGTATAGATGCAGAACTGTAGGGGACCAAGGACTTAACCTTGGGGGACACCAAAAGAGAGGAGTTGGGGAGAAGTAAAGCCAGAGAAAGAAACACTGAAAGAGCGCTGGGAGAGGTAGGAGGAGCACCAGGAGAGAGCAATATCTTGTAGACCGATATTGCGGCGGATGAGAAGAAGCTGTTTATGATCAACAGTGTCAAAAGCCACAGAAAGGTCAAGGAGAATTAGGATAGAGTAATGATCATGAGATTTTGCGACAAGTAGATAATAGGATACCTTGGTCAGTGCCGTTTATAGAGTGTTTAGCGTGGAAACCAGAATGAAGCGGGTCTAGTAAAGAGTTGGCCTCGAGGAAGTCTGTCAATCTCGCATACACAACTCTTTCAAGGATCTTGGATGCAAAATGCAGTAGCGATATAGGACGGTAGTTGGATGGGGAGTTAGGGTCAAGGTTGGGCTTATTTAGAATTGGGGTTATAGTTGCATGTTTGAAGGGCGATGGAAATATGCCAGAGGAGAGAGAGAGATTGTATCGTTTTGTGTCATCTGCAAACAATGACTCTTGCCTTTTGATGCTCATTTCATGATAAATAATACATATTTAATCTGTTTTTCAGGCTTGATATAGCAACCTCCTTCCCTGAGTAACATTTGTTATTACCGCAAGCATTACTTAAATAGAAAATGGATTCACAGCAGAAAAAAATAAATTCTGCTTTATAGAACATCATGCTTTTGTGTCCTTCATTTACCCTACAGTTAGTCAACTAAAATGACATTAATTCTCTGTTGTCAATTATTATTATAAATTGGTTGGGGCCAAGTTTGGGCACTGTAGTGCATAATAATATAGAGCAAACAATTATTGGTATGTATCCAATATCCATAATATGTGATGCATTATTTGCTAACACTAATAGAGCAGTCAATTATAACTTTTCTGAAATGCAATATATAAAGTAGGCAGACATGGCAAAAATATTGAGATGTTGTTCAAGCGAACATTACAGTGGAAAATTCACTTACTTGAAAATATCAGATTTTTTATTTTGATTTTTAGTTTTGTTCTGTTTTAATCATCTCAGACTTACTGAGATTTTCACGCACTCCAATAAATAGTTACATGATAACCAAAGCTCGATTCAGAGGACTAAAGGAGGAGGTATAAATATTATGTTAAAATGTCTTCTAAACTGCCTGAATTGATACATGTATCCTGCTTTGTGTCCGTGTGTTTTCAGGCACATGGGGCGTCACTTGGTATAAGATGTATACAGGAATATATGTTTGTGGTGTGTGTTCAGTGTGTAAATGCTGTGTCAGTAGTGATGGTGGAAATGCTTTCCTTGGCTTAAGTGAGTCGTCAAAATAGGAATGAAGAGACAGGAGTGCCTGATAAGTTATCAGTTAAATCTATGCGTGATTGCAAGAGAGAACCTTGTCAAACAATATATATAGATGATCATAATGAATCATGTAAACACTGGGCAGAGGAGAATAGTGACCATGTAAAAGAGTACAGTACTAAAAACCGTGGAAAGTACAGTATACTGTGTAGTGGGGACTGGGGAACCTTTCTTAACACTGTGTCAAGATAGTGACAGGATAGCCTAATATCCAACATGTAGAATCTAAGTATATAAAGATATAACCAGAAATCCTAAAATGTATTACCGGACCTTAGAATGACTGGATTTAATGTTTATGAAAGGTCAAGAAAACAAGGGTGAAGGTCAACGGTAAGGCAAGCCAGAGGTCACAGAATACTGAAGTCATAATAGTCAAGGTACAAGCCAGTAGTCAATATATAGGAGAATGAATAGAATGAACGCACTCTCGGATTACCATGATGGAAACCATGACAGGGCGCACTGCAAATGCCAGAGAATGAGTTCAAACATAGCGATCATGTGACGCAGGAACATGAGTTATATATGCGCCATGACGCACACACATCTGCATCAGTTAGGGCCAGAATAATTAGTGCCATTGAAGGGCTCCGATGCGCAGCGGGCGGTGTTAGTTAGAACACTGGGTATGAGCGCTGCAACATAGGAAGGAGTGACAAGCAGCTCCACTCGAACTCCAGTAACACGCACCGTCCAGAAGCATGACCTGCGGACATCGTGATACAATGGGGAGAGAAGCAAAATGAGATTAATAGAGGGGGACCTCTCTGAACAATGTGGAGGCACGCACAGTGACCACGTAAAGAGAGAAACTCACTAAACACTAGGGAAGAAGGACAGTCCTCATGCAAAGAGGAAGTTTCAGTAAACAATATGGGGATAGGCATAGTGAGAATGTTAAGAGGAGAGACTCACAAAGCAATATGGAAAGTTTCAAAGTGACAATGTTAAGAGGGAAATACTTTATGTACTGAGTATAAAAAGTCCAGTAACAAACAAAAAAACACCTCACATCAATGTTTGTAAAAAGATAAGAGATGATAATATCTCTGGTAATTGAATATCACTTTTTCTATAGATGTCCGCCATAGAACACCTATTCATTTACCACAGTTAAGTTTATCTCTGGTAACATAATACAGACTTTATTTCTTAAGATAAACAATTGAACTAGTCGCTCAAATAACACTAACATAAAATTTTTTTTGCTTAATGTCGTCATTAAATACTGTAACTATAGGCCAGAAATCTCTCACTGTTGATTCTTCGCACCCGGAAGCTTGTATCAACTTTTCATTTAACAGTTTTATTTTAAAATAAGGGATAGTATAGGGGACTACACAGTGCACACAGCCTGCTCCCCACCAGTGTGCAGTACTGTCTGTATTTCAGTATAATAAGGGCTACCACAGGGAATCTTAGGGCCTCTTAAAAAGTCATTCGTTTTGCCCCTACCATCACCAAAACACGCTCCCAAATTTGCAAAGCCACACAACTGTCACACATACACATAGATGCACAATGTCAGACACACACTGGTACACAGTGTCCAGGGGTGGACTGGCAGCAACTTGGGACGCTGGCCAAAGATATGCCTTGTGCCCCTTTCACGTCCATTAAATACATGTGGGTTTATTCACTAAACAGTTACATTTACTGAATTCAAACACAGACTGCAAAACGGAGTTTTGGAATTTGGAAAAATTCACAATTTAGTTATATTCTGAGCTTGGCTATTTTGACTTGAATTCTTTAATTCAGTATGTATTTCAATAAAATAACTATTTCATGAACAAACTCTATGCCTGATTAGAATAACAATAGAGTAACAATGTCTTTGTGAGTAGTGCAAAATTGTAAATTTATGTGTGTGTGTGTGTGTGTATAGCTTCACAATGTGTGTCTAAATGAAAGAGGTTTTTTTGTGTCAAGGTTAGTGAATGCAGTGTTGTGTGTGTGTGTGTGTAATGGAATGTCTGTGCGTGTAAATGCAGGAATAAATGTTTGTGGTGTGTGTTCAGTGTGTAAATGCTGTGTCAGTGTGTGCATGTGAAAATAGTGGTATATTAGTATAAAGTGTATTTTAGTGGAGATGACTGTATGACATTTCTTTCACTTCATATCTTCCTGACTATACTAAAATAAGGTGATTGGATGTCAGGCGTTTATAAAACATCAGTGTTTGCAGGTACCTAGCCTTGTGTTATAATCATCTTGTTTTCCCAATGCAAATTTTACACTTATATTGTTTAGTATTGAGGGGTTCACATTGTTATATTATAATTAAAGGGATACTATAGCCACCAGAACAACTACAGCTTATTGTATTTGTTCTGGAGAGTATAATCATTCCCTGCATGCTTTTTGCAGTAAACACTATTTTTTCAGAGAAAGCCTATGGATACCTCAACTGGCCACTCCTCGGATGGCTACGAGAGGTGCTTCCTGGGGCAGTGTGCAGCACTGACGTTCAGTGTCTGTACCCTCTGCATGGAGACATTGACACCAATTGGCCAGGTCTGCGTTTTCTCCGCCCCCCACTTGCCTCCTTGGGAAAGCAATGTGATTGACTGAGTTCATCACTTCTGATGGTGTCAACCAAGGATGCAGATCGGGAATCAGAACCAGCACCAGCAGACTGGAATAAAAGTAATATTTTACCATATTTAGGGGAGTGAGGGGGGCTAGATGGTGAGCTTAACACTATAAGGTCAGGAATAAATCTTTGTGTTCCTGGCCGTATAGTGTTCCTTTAAAAAAATGTTTTAATGACTTGTAGAATACTTGTAGAAAAAAAAAAATATTTTTATACTACAACAGACTCTCCTGATATGCTATGGAGTAAAATGGCATCTATTTTGAACAAATATGTAGTAAAATATGATGTAATAGCTAGAATCATCTTACATGGGCAATCAGCAATATATTGACATTTACATTTTTTTTTTAATGGTTCAGTCTAACTTATGCAAATTAATTTAACAGTTATTTTTTTTTATCGCTTGTTCATTAATCCATAAAACACTTGCTTTCAGGTATGTTGCGTTACCACTGAGCAGACTGCTGGGGATACAGGAGAAGAAGAAAAATGTGAAAGCCACGCCAAACCCAGTCCTTGAAGCCTTCTACTTAAAGCAGAGAAACCAGCCGACAGAGGTAAGTTTGTTGTACGAACCCACTGTCAGATTAATTAGTCGAAGAACCATTGCGTTAACACTACATTATACTAGCATTAAAAAAAATATATATATATATTTATTTTTTAATTATTTTGTTAGCTGTGTTTTTAAGTTTCCAGCACTGGGCTCTCTCCTACCCCTTTTTAAAAAATATTTAAAAATATAGAACTTACCTTTATTCCAGCACCGACACAGGCTCCTCACTGCAACCTGATCCTCACCTAGTGAAGTCTTCAGTCCTGATGACGCTTGTTCAATCAGATGCTTCTCTGCCAGGTTTAGCGGAAGGAGACCTGAATGGGGTAATTGACAGGCAAAAATAACCAAGGCAAAGAACAGACGTAGATAAGATGGAGGCATAGTCAGGAGCAAGGGGTCAGTTTGGGCAGCACAAGCGAAGTTCCGAGAAGGATCGAGTACCAGGAGAACAATAAGGCATGGGATAAACTCAGTGATCGGCAACTTAGGGAGTACAGTACAACTGAGCGTGGAGCACTGGGACAATGGCCAATTTATAGGGAAGAGAGGAAAACTCCACAATGTACACCACAATACAGTCTTCGCATTACTGGCACTCCCCTTTATCGTGTCTCACCCCCTTTCCCTTTAAGAAGTGCACATGCCTAGGGAACCATGAGGCAATGGAGGCTCAGCAGTTACTTCCAGCAGTGATGATGACACACTACACATGTGTAACAGTCAGCATGATCTGCCAATCCTGTGATGGTCGTAGAGAAGTACTGAATCCGGGGCTTCTCATAGAGAAGCATTAGCTCTGTTATTCATCATTACTCTGTGCATGATGATGCAGAACATAAAGTCCTTCGGGAAATCAAAGAATTAAGGAGGAAGCAGCTCTCTTGGTTGTCTGTCTCGTAGCCACTAGAGTGTGTTTTTGACTAGTTGTAAACCTTTCCATTTCTTATAATTGGCAATATTTTACCAATACGTAAAGATGTCGTGACTTATGTGCTTAGACTGTCTATTTAATCTAAAAAGATTAACAAAACTATAGCAAACAAGGCTTGGTGCATTTGTTCCATCAAATAGAAGTCTGTAGGAAACCGACAATGGAAAGGCTACTCTGCACAGGGGGTATAAAGGTATTTTTGTATACAAGATGCATGGTTAAGGATATAAATTTATTTTTAGCTCATATATGTTCATTTTCCAGTAACGCCAATTTCTTTGTTTCTTTACATCTTGTTTGTAGTGAAATCTTATTATACATGTTGAGAATGTTTTCTCACACTTTATCTAATTATATTGCCATATACAGTTGAAATTCAGAATTTGCAATACAACAAATAGAAAAGAAGAAATTAAAAGAAACTAAATATACCGGTACAAAATGATTGTGCATCTTATTATGTCTAATGAACCAATCTTTGTCGCAGAGCGAGGTTCGCTGCTTGTCTGCTCAGTGTAACATGCAGAATCGCCAAGTTGAACGCTGGTTCAGATGTCGCAGAAACCAAGACAGACCAAGTACAAGTCAGAAATTCCGTGAGGCCAGGTGAGGTGGGAAAACCTACCACAACGGGAGAAGTGTAAAACTATACATACCACGAGGGCCGCCGTGAGAATTGTTGGGGCCCCTTACAAAACTACATGCTGGGATCCCTAACACACTCACAATAACAGACAGAGATACAAACTCCCAATAGATACCCCAACACACACTCCCAGAGAAACATATTCACAGACACGCGCACACAATATATGCATTCCAGACACTGTCACAGATACACACAGATACACGCATGCACCTCAATACACACTGCCATGCACACACACACAGTTAAAAAATCCAATCTCCCATCTAAAATTATTAGAGTTAAGAGGGTATAGGTATGGACATAGCATTTCACCTTAATTTTATAATTGTGTATTTGGGCAAGGAGCTATGAGCAATGCTTGACAATATTCCTCGGAATGTAGGAGTTTGAACTGCAAGTTAGGAACCAGACATTTTTAATAAGCTACACACAAGCACACTTAAGAAACCACTTTGTCACACCAGTAGTTTGCCCAACATGCTATCTGAGGTAGTGTCACAGATGGTCTGCAATGGTGTTTGAAGGATATATTAGGTGTTTTTGCTGTATATTTGATGGTATTTCGTTTTTTTTAAATTTATTTATTTATTTTTGTAGTGCACGTATATAGTACAGGCATGCTTGAGGTGCCCCGAAAGCAGTCCTCAGGCTTTTCCCACGCTTAACATGCGGGGTGTACGATTAACTGGCACAATTTTTATATTTTATCAGTCTCAATTAACATCACATTAAATCATTGGTTGGTTCGTGTGTTAGCTGTAGTAGTACCAATATATATAGTACAGGTAGTGCGGTACAGCGCTAGCGATTTTCGTTTAGCTAATGCCCGTACCTGTTTGATGTGAAACGGTTCGCTTATATAGTAAGACCTGCTAGGGCAGGGTCGTTTATAGTATTAGTTGCGCTCATGGTTACACATATGTATATTGCAATTAGTGTGCCATTTTTGCCTCAGAAGCATAACGGTGAGATTAACAAGTTGAGAGGCCAGTATAGATAGCTTCATGCGATGCAGTTCAAACTAGTGTTTTAGGGTACATGCCTATCTTGCGCCTTAAGCAACAATTAATTAGTAGACTGAACATAAAACATAACATAATTTGTAAGGTGTATGCTGTGCCAATGCGCTCAGGGGATGGTATTTAGTTTTAATATAATTAACACTGTTTTTAAGGAAGTAGTTCCATTTTAGCAGTTCTAACATACTTTCCACAATCTTTGCAGAGTGCCTAACCGTGGAAGCCAAAACTACATTTTCTGTTAGTTCCTAAACATGCAAAGTGATAACATTTTGCAGATTATGGTTTTAACTTCTTGTTGATTTTTTTTAATTTTATTTCAATTTTAGCTAGATTTCCCCCAATCTATGTTAGAGCACTTTATTGAAATATGACTTTAAAAAAAAAATAATAATAATAATAAGGGTTTTCTGTTGGTTCTGAGTCTGGACGGTATCTCTCGCTCTCTGAGGCTATTTTTATCATTTGTGCTGAATGAACCCATGTTATGATCCTTGTTTTTCTCTCCCTTCCCGTATTAAGGTCTATATAAATCTTCCTTAATTGCCCGAGTCATATTCAGTCCCATTTCGCATGAGTCCTAGTAATATCTGTATGTTCGCTAAACCCTTAATTCAGTTGCTTACTATTGTATGTATCAATATTTGTGTTTAATGTATTCTTTCATATCAAAAATCAAATCTCAGTCCACTATTTATATTTTAAGTGCGTTTTCTTACGGCATACCAGTTTAGATTTTTGGGTTTTTTAGAGGTTTTTTGAAGAGTATGTGTATGCGATTTTCATAACTTTTTGAATCTAGCTTATCTCATGGATACATTCTAATAGGATAGTATGTGACTGACCACATTGCACTAAATGTTCAGAATAACTGCAGTAGGCTCAAGTAGCTGTATTGACCCAGGGATAAGTTAACTAATATGTAGTAGACTAATGAAAGTTTAAGTGAAGAACAGTTGTAAACAATAGAATTATATAAATTAATCGGTAACACTCAAGTATTTGACTGTGTGCACACATATAATAATTCAGTAATCTGTGCAAAACAGAGCTCACACCCCCAAACATACCAATATTGAATCAGATCGTCCAAACACGCAAGAGAGAAACACTACGATAGTCTTTATTAGTAAAACACAATAAACAATAAACAAAGCAAAACAAAATGTGTTTTGTTCCCCCAAAGCATGTATAGTTCACAAGCCATAAGATTAAGCAATACTTTGCAAACATATACATTCTGTATCAGTCAAAACCATCAGACTTAGGAGCCTAACGGAACCTTATGTTACCCCAACATTCTGACCACATTGACCTTTTCGATGCTTTTTCTACAGATGACTGACAAAGGCTGCAAATCCACACTTACCAAAACCCTCTAACAGAAGCAAGAGAGCACTCAGCACAGATTTACAGAACTTCAAGTGGCTTACATGTACATAACTGGGATTTATTTTGAATAATATATCTAATATGTCTCACTCACATCAAGTTTATTTCATATTTTTTTGGACACATCATTTAAAAAAAAAAGTTTTAAGCATAAATGTCCTTGTACAGTTGTATGTTTGTTTGGTTTTTAAATATTTTTCAAACATTGCATAATGTTTGTTTTTTTTCTCTTTAGTTGGAGATACGTCTTCTATTTAGTTGCGTTCCTTACTGGCCTTGCTGTCCTGAAAGATGTGAGTATACAGTGATTCTGCGTTAGTGGACAGGCATGCTCAGACGGGTATAGATCTGTATGTAATGGAAAATGACAGAGCGTATAATATCCTAATATCATGTTATAAGTAAAGTTTCTATTATATCTGAAATTACCTTCTTACCTATTTTTCTGTTTTAGACCCTAGCGCATTACACAGTACTTCAAATAGTGTGATTAAAGTTATGTGTTCTCCAATAGGGAGGGATAGTTATCGGATTTGGAAAAATGACTTTTGTTGGGCAAAGAAAGGTCACGTGGAATATTTGTCCATCCAAATGAACGTTAAAGGACCACTATAGTGCCAGGAAAACATACTCGTTTTCCTGGCACTATAGTGCCCTGAGGGTGCCCCCACCCTCAGGGGCCCCCTCCCGCCCGGCTCTGGAAGGGGGAAAGGGTTAAAATATACATACAAAATAATAGGTGGAGCTGTAAATTCTTGAGAAGTCTGTAAAATACAAAATACAATACAAAATAGCGTAGTATGTCTGTAATTGACAATGAAACAAGGATAAGAAATAGTAAAACTCACAAGGCTGGAGTCATACCGTCATATGACTCTGGAGGTATACGTCTCTGGACCATTGGGGGTTGTCCAAACCCTTTTGTTGTCGACTTTTTGGTCTTCCCCCTTTTATGTTCCTTCGTCGGTCCCCAAGAAGTACTTGGTAAACGGGTGGTTCTTCAATAATAGTATATATTTATTAGAAAATAACTGGTGTAAAAATTATTTTAAAATATCCATATATCAGATAATGCTGAATATAGGAATACAGTACAATGCATATGCAAATGCAAAATTGGAAAGTGTCCAATAAATGTTCAAAAAGTCCAAAACGCGTTTCACCTGTTTAACAGGCTTCCTCAGTTGGCTATAATCTTCTTTTTCCTCCTTCTTGTCCTTTTTATAAACTTGGTTTGCCGGTTTTTTCGCCTCCTTCCGTCACTTCCGGGTTTTTCGCGTCTGGAACGCAACGTAAAGGGTTAAAAACTTACCTTTTTCCAGCGCTGGGCGGAAAGCTCTCCTCCTTCTCTCCTCCTCCGTTCCTCCTCCTGGGCTGAATGCGCACGCGCGGCAAGAGCTGCGCGCGCATTCAGCCCGTCGCATAGGAAAGCATTGTAAATGCTTTATGGACGCTATGTTTCTCACTGTGAAAATTACAGTGAGAAGTATCGCATGCTTTCTAGTGCCAAGCCGTTTACAGCCACTAGAGGGAATAGGGGGAAGGCTTAACCCATTGATAAACATAGCAGTTTCTCTGAAACTGCTATGTTTATTAAAAAATGGGTTAACCCTAGCTGGACCAGGCACCCAGATCACTTCATTAAGCTGAAGTGGTCTGGGTGCCTAGAGTGGTCCTTTAAACATTTGTTGAACATACGGTTTGCACAAATGTGCTTACATTTACATAATTAATTTGTTGCAAATTAATGCAAAGCTTTTCAGAGAAATGGCAGTGTTAACACTGCTGCATAGGAACACCTCTAGTGGCAGTCACTCAGACGGCCACTAGAGGTACTTCCTGTGTCAGTGTTAGACAGTGCTCTGCATGGAGGCGCTGAACGTTGCCATAGAGATGCATTGATTCAATGCTGATTGGAGTGGCACGTTTTGCAGCTGGTGTCTGACTTATCCCCTGGTAGTGTTGTATGTAGTTGCTGCTGTTCTGATCCTGAAAAGGTTGAAGATCCCACTTCTTCACCCCATCTACAAAGACCAGATCAACATTTCACCTATTTGCAATTCAGGCCACCTTAAAACTATATATTAAATCTCCAGCCGCCCCAAATGTCTCATTGACAGCCGCTAGAGGCGCTTGCGTGCTTCTCACTGTGATTTTCACAGTGAGAGCACGCCAGCGTCCATAGGAAAGCATTATGAATGCTTTCCTATGTGACCGGCTGAATGCGCGCACAGCTCTTGCCACGCGTGCGCATACAACCGACGGGGAGGAGAAGAGGAGGATCGGAGGAGGAGAGCTCTCCGCCCAGCGGTGGAAAAAGGTAAGTTTACCTCTTTCCAGAGCCGGGCTGGTGGGGGTCCCTGAGGGTGGGGGCACCCTCAGGGGACTATAGTGCCAGGAAAACGAGTATGTTTTCCTGGCACTATAGTGGTCCTTTAAAGGACCACTGCAGACACCCAGATCACATCAGCTCAATGAAGTTGTCTGGGTGTCAGGTCCCTCTAGTTTTAACCCTGCAGCTGAAAACATAGCAGTTTCAGAGAAACTGCTGTTTCACTGAGGGTTAATCCAGCCTCTATGGCTGTCTCACTGACAGCCGCTAGAGGAGCACACTTTAAGCATTGAGTAATGCTTTCCTATGGGCGGTTTGAATGCGCGGGTCGCATTCGGAGCTGAGAGGCTGAGGGATCCTCGCCAAGGGAATCCGGCGCTGGAGAAAGGTAAGGTGCTGAAGACACACACACACACACACTTACAGACGCATACACACTAGCTAACAGACACACACATTTACTGACAGAGACACAGTCAGCGACAGACATACATACACACACTCACTTACAAAACATACACTCTCATTGACAAACACACACTTACTAACAGACATCAAACAGACTCACTAACACACACACTCAGTAAGACACACACATTAACACACTCACTGACACTCACTAGCAGACACACACTAACACTCACATTCACTCTAACACTCACACTAACACTCACTAGCAGACACACACACTAACACTCACTCTAACACTCACACACACTAACACTCACTAGCAGACACACACACTAACACTCACTCTAACACTCACTCTAACACACACTCTAACACTCACTCTCACACACACTAACACTCACTCAAACACTCACACACAAACACTCACTCTAACACTCACACACAAGCACTCACTCTAACACTCACTCTAACACTCACTAACACACTCTAACACTCACACTAACACACACTAACACTCATTCTAACACTCACTCACACTAACACTAGTTTTTTTTTTTTTTAAATGTAATCCCCCCAGCCTCCTTACCTTTTAGAGTGCTGGGGGGATTCCCTGGGGTCCAGTGGTGCTGCTGGGCTCCTGGGCGGGTGGCCGGTTGGGCAGGCAGGCGGGCGCGCGCGCGAGGGAGCACTCAGTGCTTCCTCGCGCCCGCCTGCCGGGTGTCAGCAGGGCCAGCCTCGGGGGACCCTGGGGTGGTCGGCTCCTGGGCCCCCCAGGGGAAGAGGCTGGCCCAGTGGGTACACACCGGGTCGCAGGGGTGGCCAGGCCCCCTGGTGGGCCGGGCCCGGTCGCAGCCGCGACCCTGGTATGTACGCCACTGCCCCTGACCCATGTTTATTTTTGTTGCTTTGTGCTATATACCTCCACTGACCCCTTGTCTTGTTTATTGTTATTTTACTCTATATAAAAAGCATATTATTCTCTGGTTACTTACCTGCAGCTCATTTTGTCACCTGTACCAGGTATCATATTTCTTTCTTGTAACAGGTGTGTTTTTTTTCATTAATCCCATAACATATAATCTGACTGTCCTTTACCTATTTTTTGCATATTGAAATCTGACCTAGCCATGAACGTGAGATTTACTGATATACATACAGTTGCAAGAAAAAGTATGTGAACCCTTTGGAATGATATGGATGTCTGCACAAATTGGTCATAAAATGTGATCTGATCATCATCTAAGTCACAACAATAGACAATCACACTCTGCTTAAATTAATAACACACAAAGAATGAAATGTTGCCATGTTTTTATTGAACACACAATGTAAACATTCACAGTGCAGGTGGAAAAAGTATGTGAACCCTTGGATTTAATAACTGGTTGAACCTCCTTTGGCAGCAATAACTTCAACAAAATGTTTCCTGTAGTTGCAGATCAGACGTGCACAACGGTCAGGAATAATTCTTGACCATTCCTCTTTACAGAACTGTTTCAGTTCAGAAATATTCTTGGGATATCTGGTGTGAATCGCTTTCTTGAGGTCATGCCACAGCATCTCAATCGGGTTGAGGTCAGGACTCTGACTGGGCCACTTCAGAAGGCGTATTTTCTTCTGTTTAAGCCATTCTGTTGTTGAGTTACTTCTATGTTTTGGGTCATTATCCTGTTGCAACACCCATCTTCTGTTGAGCTTCAGCTGGTAGACAGATGGCCTTAAGTTCTCCTGCAAAATGTCTTGATAAACTTGGGAATTCATTTTTCTTTCGATGATAGCAATCCGTCCAGGCCCTGACGCAGCAAAGCAGCCCCAAACCATGATGCCCCCACCACCATACTTCACAGTTGGGATGAGGTTTTGATGTTGGTGTGCTGTGCCTTTTTTTCGCCACACATTGTGTTGTGTGTTTTTTCCAAACAACTCAACTTTGGTTTCATCTGTCCACAGACTATTTTGCCAGTACTGCTGTGGAACATCCAGGTGCTCTTGTTCAAACTGTAAACGTGCAGCAATGTTTTGTTTGGACAGCAGTGGCTTCCTCTGTGGTATTCTCCCATGAAATCCATTCTTGTTTAGTGTTTTACGTATTGTAGATTCGCTAACAGGGATGTTAGCATTTACCAGTGACTTTTGTAAGTCTTTAGCTGACACTCTGGGATTCTTCTTCACCTCATTGAGCAGTCTGCTCTGTGCTCTTGCAGTCATCTTTACAGGACGGCCACTCCTAGAGAGAGTAGCAGCAGTGCTGAACTTTCTCCATTTATAGACAATTTGTCTTACCGTGGACTGATGAACAACAAGGCTTTTGGAGATACTTTTATAACCCTTTCCAGCTTTATGCAAGTCAACAATTCTTAATCGTAGGTCTTTTGAGAGCTCTTTTGTGCGAGGCATCATTCACATCAGGCAATGCTTCTTGTGAAAAGCAAACCCAAAATGGGTGTGTGTTTTTTAAAAGGCAGGGCAGCTGTAGCCAACACCTCCAATCTCATCTCATTGATTGGACTCCAGTTGGCTGACATCTCACGCCAATTAGCTCTTGGAGATGTCATTAGTCTAGGGGTTCACATACTTTTTCCACCTGCACTGTGAATGTTTACATGGTTTGTTCAATAAAAATATGGCAACATTTCATTATTTGTGTGTTATTAGTTTAAGCAGACTGTGATTGTCTATTGTTGTGACTTAGATGATGATCAGATCACATTTTATGACCAATTTGTGCAGAAATCCATATCATTCCAAAGGGTTCACATACTTTCTCTTGCAACTGTAAATCCAATTCCGACACAACTACATATTGTTGTGCATTAATGCAGACTGTAGCAAACCTAGCCACTTCTGTGTGTAAAAGACCGAGTTGGTTCGACTATTTCTACTTCACAAACAGAATAAAGACATATTGTTCATGAGTCGAACCAACTACCGAACCGGGAGACCACCCAGTGGAGTCGTGTGTCTCCAATTAAGGATTGCAACACTTGAAAACTGCAAAGTTCCAAATGGTCGGAAGGATGGGCCATCTTTGCACACGAACACCCTAGCGGTGTTTATTCATCGAGTGCGTGGAACTAAAATCGGCCACTCAACCTCACAAACACCGCTGGACTTCCATCCTGTTCGTACGTGCGTTTCCTTTTGTCCAAACAGAGCGGCGTTTGACTAAATGGAACGAACAACCATTAGACACACGACTACCCTGCTTATGAACGTTTACATTCGTTAGTTTGTTCGTGAGAACTCCCGAAAGAAAGACCGGTCAAAACAGTCAATTGCATGGAACTGTTTTGGGGCTTCATCTTGTGGCTGACCGGTCCAAAACTTCACTCGAATGGCTTTCCTGTTCTACCGAACAGATCTGAGTGGCATTTCTATAGATTGGGCGCTCAGATCCCTGCTATTCAGTGAAGTGTTTTCCGTGGAGTTCTGATTAATAATAGGGGAGTTATGATGTTTTGAAATATTGTTTAATGTTCTGTACTTGGGAGATAATCTAATTAAAGAATTGTTCTTACGCAATTATCTTTCAAGTACAGAAAAGGATCATGGTAAATATGGCTTTGTTCAGAGTCCTCCACAAGGTCCACCAGGGGGGATACCCCTGGAATGTCATTAAGGAAACTCCTTGTACTGGGAATCGCATAAAAGCCAGCTGTGGCTCAATAAAAATCAGTTGACTCCCAAAGCCGTGTTTCGTCCAGTTGTTGGGGAATGGGATTGGAATTACTACGCTACCCTTTATTTGCATGCTGATCATATCTACCTGCGGAGATATTGCAGTTCACACTCTCACTCCGCTACACAGACAAATTAACCATTAATGCTACATTATGCAGACTATCGCATAGCCTGCACATAAATAATTATTAAAAACCTATAGTGCATAGATAAAACAGACTATGATATATCCCACAGGACAGAGATACCGATCACCATATAACTTGACTGACCGATAATCAAATACTTCCGGATATTATGACCCTGATAACAAACTTACTATGAAATTAAATGGTAGATTATAATATAGCAATCAATTATTGATCATGTGCCTTACTTTTTTGGTCATGTATGTGCGTTACTTGAGGACTTGTGGCAGTAGCTTTGTCTCCAAAATCATTATGTTGGTCTAATTTATGTTCCTAATTCTTCTAGAACATAATGTATTCATTAAGCTGCTACTGGAACCCTTAAAATAGTTTTTTCTTAAAAATGAACGATGCGTACTACGTCTACTTGATCAAGGCACAGGATGGTGCTGAAACGTTTTTGTTCCGGGAGGGAGACACAGACTCAAAGAATCAGTGTCACGCCGCCCGAATACTTATGCAGGCGCCTGTCGGGTCCGCTCATGCACGGGAGCAGACTGGGACCCAGCGGGCTCATCTCATTGTGGCGGCATTCCCACGTGGTAATGGGAAAGCCACCTATCACTTACCTCCTACTGAGATGCCTCTGAATGGAACTCCTCCCCCTCACACAGCGGCCGGGTCTGTAATCATTAGAGACGCCTCCTGCTGCAAATTAGATCCTTTTAAGTGTTTTGTTATTAACTCTTATAGTGCCATACCATTTGGAACGTGTGTGATGTCACACACACACTTTACTATCATATGCTTCCCTGCAGCCAATCAGGGAGCACCTTAGGCTATTTAAAAAAAATTTGTCCGTTTCTCTGTGCCCTGTCATGGTTTCCATTTATGGTACTGATTATTGTGTATTTTGACCTTGGCTTTCCTACTGACTATCCGGTCTCTGTATTCCTTGACCTTTGGCTTGGCTCCTGACTATTCTGACTTCTATATTCTTCGACCTTTGGCTACTTAATAGTTTCCGTGATTTCTGTGTTCTTGTCCACAGCCTGTCTTGTGGTGTTTTTTTTTTTCTTTTATATGTTAATCCGGCCATTCTAATGCCCAGGTAAACATCTTAGGGTGTTCTTTATTTTTTACTTAAGTTCTGCATGTTGGGCATTAGTTTATCCTGACTATCAGATGATGCTTATTCACGACAGAAATAAAATATGCACAGAATTGACATTCGCCAGCTCGGAACAGAGTTCTGGGCTGCCTTAGTCACATGTGCCAGGAGTGCAACTAACCCCTGTAATAAAAATGCTGTTCTAGCCTAATGATGATCAGTTTCATCTCAATCCTTCCTCCATCCTTATCTCATTCCCCTCTATCCTTATCTGTCTTCCTACAGCTCTCCTGTATATTCTCATTTATTTTTTCCCCGTCTTTTCCATCACACTAGCAAGCTGATGCAGACTACCACTTATCAAATGAGACATTCTTAAATAAGCTTTTGTGCGAGACCTCCTACAATGTCCGAAACTGTTCTAGCAACGTTCCAGATTACCGACCATAAAATATGAAAAATGGAGATATAGACTAAATAAACAGAAAACTCACTGAAATATTCCGTGTACCTTCAGCAGATGTAAATAATATGAAACGCCTGATTGCGTGATGTGCGCTGTGTTTTTTACGTTTTTTTATGTGACTATAGCATTGACAAGACCTGCTTTCCAGTTGGCTTAGACCTGACAAGAGCTGCAGGCTCATGCTTCTCTAAGATTAGAATGTGGATAACGTTGTTTTATTGTGTAAATATATTCTGGGTGAAACCTGTAGCTGGGGTTTTCTGTTCTTTGTCATGAAAATTCTTTCCTGACTTACTTGCGCTTTCAAATTCCTTAGTCTGCTGCACCTGTGAGGTTTTTTCAGTGGTATAATGAGCGTATTGTGTCATTGCCTCATCGGTATACATTACATAAATGCATCCTGTATGTAAGGCCTAAGGGAAATTTTTTCATAATTAAACCTCCCAGACAGATTTTCTTAACATTCGTATTGTTCACTAACCATACCAAAAAAGGTTCAGTGTTCAGTATTCAGTTGAATGGTGGATGTTCGGTATACACAGATTTCTTTTCGAGTGTTATGAATTTGCAAGTCATACTAAGCAGTGCCACAATGCACAGTTAAAAACCTTTTTTTTTTTTTTTAATAAAATATTAAAGCGGAAAAGTTTTGTATACTGAAAGTATCAGTTTTCATCAAGATGAGAAGATAATCTGCATGCCTGTTATGGTGTAGGGCACTATTTATACATTAAATATTTATACATTGTGCTGGTAGACATGTTGGCACATATATAGATGATTGGGGGGGACTGACATTTTAACAAAATGATCCCTCCCGCCCACACGTCTAACAGCTGTCCGCATAGAAATCTATCAAGATGTCATAGCCCTCTGTGTGGATAGATGATTGACAGGGGAGAGCAGGAGAATCCTCCTAAAGGCCAAGTAATCAAGAACATCTGTTCTATTAGCAACCTCAAGCTGAGTTTAGACATTTATGAACAAAAGACAAATCAACTATTTTAGAAAGATTACATAAAAATGCAGCCAACAGAAAAAAAGCAACATCCAGTGTTCAGAAAGGGTAACTGGGTAAAACAACATAATTGGTGCGATAATATTATTTCATAGACTCAAAACCCCAAACATGAGTTTACCAAAGTTGTGATAAGCCAGATAAAATGTAGTATAAATCAGAAGGGAAAAAAGTTAAGTATAAATTAGTCAGTTTAATAAAAATAATTAAATTCATTCAAACAATCAATACGAATGGCACTCACAAACAAAAAGTACAATACTGTGTACAAAATGCACCTTCGCCCCAAAGGCCCCTTTTGTTCAGTCCACCTATTCTTTGCTGAAATAGCCGAGATACCGACCAATGTGGGAAAATTGATGCTGGTCTCAGGTGCAGACCCTTCTCTCAGGCTGAAGATTCTTTTGCAAAGGTTATTTTTCAAATCGTTAAAATGCAGGGAGTGCTTTATGCTTTTTGTCTTTACGTTTTTGTGGACTTCCTCAGGATTGTATAATATTGTTTATTATATAAAAGACAAAAATATGTAGGATTATTTAAGAAAGTGAAATAATTCAAAGGGTTTTTTAACTTGGTGGTTTGAGTAAGCAAACTGAAAGCATAGCTGACTAAGATAATTTTTCCAGTTTGTCTATTTTACATGTGACTTGCACATCCTTCCTTAAAGGGACACTATAGTGACCAGAACAACTACAGCTTACTGCATTTGTTCTGGTGAGTAGAATCATTACCTTCAGGCTTTTTGCTCTAAGCCCTGTCTTTTCAGAGAAAATGCAGTGTTTACATTACAGCCTAGTGGTAACTCCACTGGCCATTCCTCATATGGTTACTAGAGGTGCTTCCTTGGGCAGTGCAGTACTGTGAGCAGTACTGACATTCAGTGTCTCCATCCTCTGCATGCAGACACTGAACTTTCCTCATATAGATGCATTGATCAAATTTATCTCTATGAGGAGATGCTGATTGGCCAGGGCTGTGTTTGTGCCGGCTCTGCCTCCTTGACAGTCTCAGCCAATCCTATGGGAAAGCATTGTGATTGGCTCACATAATCACTTCTGATCGTGTCAGCTGTAAGCAGACAGATCAGAGGCAGCAGCTGCAGACTTAAATACAATAAGATATTCCTGTATTTAGGGAGGCAAGAGGGGTCAGGGTGGACTAGATGGTAGTTTTAAAACTATAGGGTCAGAAATACATGTTTGTGTTATTGACCCTATAGTGTTCCTTTAACTTTTCCTGTAAAGAGACATCTAATGTTTACACTTCCTTTATTGCTAATTCTGTTTAATTTAGCATTTCGTATCTCCTGCACTGCTAAAAGCTTACTAGACCTTGCAGGAGCCTTGTGCATGTGATTTAAAGTTCAATTTACAGAGCAGGAGATACAAACTTCTAAAACAAGTTAGCATCTACCGTATATACTCGAGTATAAGCCGAGTTTTTCCAGCACATTTTTTGTGCTGAAAAACCCCAACTCGGCTTATACTCGAGTCACTGTCTGTATTATGGCAGTTTATATTGCCATAATACAGACTGGGGGCTGGCAGAGCTGTTACTTACCTCTCCTGCAGCTCCTGTCAGCTCTCTCCTCCTCCGCGCCGGTCCGGTCAGCACCTCGGTCAGCTCCCAGTGTAAGTCTCGCGAGAGCCGCGGGGTCATAGTGCGGCTCTCGCGAGACTTACAGTGTGAGCTGACAGAAGAGCTGCACGGACCGGCGCGGAGGAGGAGAGAGCTGACAGGAGCTGCAGGAGAGGTAAGTAACAGCTCTGCCAGCCCCACTCCTCCCCCCACTGAACTGCCAATGCCACTGGACCACCAGGGAAGGAGAGCCCCCCTCCCTGCCATGTATCAAGCAGGGAGGGGGGACAACAAAATAAATAAATTTATAATATATAAATAATAATAATAAAAAAAATATAACAAAAAAATTAAAATAATATTAATTAATAATATATAAATATAAATAATAATAAAAAAATAATTAAAAAAATAATATAACCAAAAAAATTAAAATAATAAATAATAATATATATTTTTTTTATAAAAATGCCCACCCCCCCACCAAGGCTCTGCAACACAAACATACACTGCATCACACACACACACACACACACTGCACTCATATACACACTGCATCACACACACACTGCATCACACACACACACACATACACACTGCACTCATATACACACTGCATTTATACACACACACTGCACTCATATACACACTGCACTCATATACACACTGCATTTATACACACACTGCGCACTCATACACACACACTGCATTCATCATATACACACACTGTAAATAAATATTCAATTAATATAATTTTTTTAGGATCTAATTTTATTTAGAAATTTACCAGTAGCTGCTGCATTTCCCACCCTAGTCTTATACTCGAGTCAATAAGTTTTCCCAGTTTTTTGGGGTAAAATTAGGGGCCTCGGCTTATATTCGGGTCAGCTTATACTCGAGTATATACGGTAATTGAAAATGAAACCATTTTTTTCATGTAGGCTGTGTGATTAACAGCTAGGGGAGGAGTGTCTAGAGCTGCATTGACATAAACAAAAGTGATTTAACTCATAATTGGCAGTGAATTGAGCAGTGAGACTTCAAAGGCATGATCTATACCTGAACACTGTTTCATTAAGCTAAAGTTGTTTTGGTGACTATAGTGTCCCCTTAAGGACCAAACTTCTGGAATAAAAGGGAATCATGACATGTCACACTTGTCATGTGTCCTTAAGGGGTTAAGAACAAAGTGGCCAAGCTGTATGCATATAGCTGACTTGGATAATTTGGCCTTAAATTCATTTTGAATTTATTTGAAATTAAAAGCAATTATCACCTTCGTGAATACACTTATCAGTGTACTCCAGTAGCCCTTTGTTCTTTATAGTAGGTCATTATATAGTCCGAAGATGAATGATCTTAGAGGTTTATGGCACAAATATCTAATCACATTACTCAGAGGCATTAATATGTCAAATATCGGCATTTAGCTCCTGCAACGTATTTTTGTGTCTGTGGAGATTGCATTTAAAGGAACTCACTATGTCAGTACAGTGGGTTTCTCTAGAAATAAAACCACCGTTTGATAAAGAATTAAAAGGAAACTCACCACATTCAATAAAAGTTAAAAATCCCCTATATGATAACCTGTGAAGCACCCGGTAATAATAACATCAATACAACTAAGGTGATAATGGTGGCTAGAAATACTGCCATTTCTATAGAACTTGATATTTTCAAAAGTGTAAGAAATCTGCAAACATATATATAAAAAAAAAAAAAATAGTGCATTACATAAAAAAAAAAAATCCGCACTGCGCTCAGCATATACAGAGTAACACTCACAAGCCATGTGGCTTATAATCTCATTTGTTTATGTATAATGAAAATGTCCTGCCTACGTTTAATACTTGTGAAACGATTTACCGAAGCCTGTAGGTTTTTTCTGTTTTTGTGTCACTGCAAAGTTACATTGAAATTGACATTCACTAAGTGGTGGATATTTACATCAATGCCAATTAGTAAAGGGTTCCGTCTGGAGAGGGGAGCCCACGATAAAAAACTGCTGCTCAATTTGGTATTCACTAAAAGTCATTTTACTTCTAGAATGCCATGCAAGGTGAGACCAGGCTTGAGATCTCACTAGACAAGCACCAGCAATGCGATGTCCCTGAAAGTGAAAGTTAAAAAAAAATTACTTTGTCCTCTGTGGATCTCTCCATTAAAATATATAAGAATAAAAAAAGTGGGTTCCCTGCTCCCAGTTTGCAAAATAATTTTTATACACTTCCACTTTCCAGCGTGTTTTCTGGACATACGGTGTAGATTGTCCGTGTTTCGTGCTAAAATGGTGCAGACTGGTAGTGTGACATTCAGTTCAATGATGATGTTCAGTTCCTAACACATGCTGCATCTTGCCACCTGCCATCGAGATATCATTACAGCAGCCATGCTTTGAACAGAACTTCAGCGACAAAGAATAAAAGAGCCGCCTTCTCGAACATTCAACGTAGATAACAGATGATGTAATTTTCCTCATTTAACATTAACCCCTTAAGGACCAAACTTCTGGAATAAAAGGGAATCATGACATCTCACACGTAGAAACATAGAATGTGACGGCAGATAAGAACCATTCGGCCCATCTGGTCTTCCCAATTTTCTAAATACTTTCATTAGTCCCTAGCCTTATCTTATAGTTAGGATAGCCTTATGCCTATCGCACGCATGCTTAAACTCATTTACTGTGTTAACCTCTACCACTTCAGCTGGAAGGCTACTCCATGCATCCACTATCTTCTAATTTCATGTGTCCTTAAGGGGTTAAACAGACTTAGTCTCATAAAGTGAAAATATGATTAAAATGATCCCCTATTTTCAAGACACTATAAAGATAATGCAGAAAGAAAAATATGAAAAATTGATTTGAAAGAAGTGAAAAACAAAGATGTTATTCACCGTTTAAAATAGACCTGTATTTTTATTTATTTTTTGGTTTTCCATTCCTTATGCCCCCTGTATTTTAATGATTATACTCCCCTCCTTGCCATTTGTCTTTATTTATATTTAGCTTTTCTTCCTTATGCCGGATCTCAATATCCAGGAGCAGCCATTTTGTTCTCCTCTGTACATAATCGTGCTGATGGATTGTGGGTAAATTTGATTGGCAACTGAAACAGAACCTTGCTTTTAAGCTCTGCCCATTGTCAAGTTTTGTCAACCTGACTGCTATACATAAGGAAAAGTAGTCCCTGCTTTTATTTATGTATATTATGGTCCACAGGTATCCCCCCGATGATCCCAAGATCCAGTGTGATCTGTGATATAGTCCCAATCCGTTTACTGCCGGCCCCACGACAGATCTCCATCTCTATCTTCGTGCCATTCGGGCCCGGATATGAAAGAGGCCAGTGCCTTTTCATACAGCTGCAGTCCATGGGCTCACATCATTTGTCGGGTCCCTTGGTACAGCGTGCTCCAGGCGTGCCTTCAAAAGAACTTGAACAGTATGTTCAAACGATGCAGGACATTGTAGGTATCTCTATAGGGATCTGAGGAGCATGTGGCGCCCACCAGCACTCAGGTGCCCATTGCTTCTTCAGAAGTTATGCCATGCGCCCTCAGCCTTATAAGGGAGCCTCCAGTCAGTAGCCCGGGATCACCCCCACCAGTTCAAAGGGGGAAAAATGGGGCACCAATCAGCAGCACAGGGCAGAAGAGGAGATAGGCCCCTTCTCCACTCTCTTGGACTCTGAACGCTGCCAAGCAGTTCTCATTTCTCTGGCGGTGTGGGCACCCGAGGACATCAAAACATGCTCTGGGATCACCTCAGTCGATTCAGGAGCACCACAGGGGCAGCTAGAGTCATTGATGGGAGTACAATCTACTAGAATATCGGTTCTCAAAAATTTATGTGCCTGAGCTCCTACAGGATGGAACATCTTCCAACAGAGGACCAAAACCATCAGCATATTCATAGGTGTCAATTGTACTAAGGTTTGAGTAAAATTAGCAGAATGGGGTTAAAAAAGTACTTAATTTATTTGTAATCTAATATGACCAATTGATTACACCTTGTAAGAATTTCACACAGAATATTTTGTTTAGTTTAGTACGTGTATAAGGAAATTGTAACTTAAATTAATGTATACACTCTGTGACTAATAATTATCCTAAAATACCTGTAATGCTTGTTTTAGAAACCTTGGCTTTGGGACCAGCGGGAATTCTGGGCAAATTACCCACATCAGGTGAGTACTGAGGGATTAACCAATGCTGACAGAAAGAAAGTACCGTATATACTCATGTATAAGTCGAGTGCAGTTTTGTGACCAACAATTGTGAAATATGCTATGCCTCGTGGATAAGTCGAGGGTAAAACTTGGGGCTATGAAATTCTGTGATTTTTATAATTATATACACACACACTCATACAAACACACACTCTGCATTAGATATACCCACACTCATACAAACACACACTCTGCATTATATATACACACACACTCATACAAACACACACTCTGCATTATATACACACACACACTCATACAAACACACACTCTGCATTATATACACACACTCTGTGTATATAATGCAGAGTGTGTATATAATGCAGAGTGTGTGTTTGTGTAGTGTGTGTGAACTGGGTGGGGGGAGGGCATTTTTATTATTTTAATTTTTTTTTAATTTTAATATTATTTTTTTTATTATTTTAATTTTTTTTGTCCCCCCTCCCTGCTTGTTAACTGGTCAGGGAGGGGGGCTATCTTAATCCCTGGTGGTCCAGTGGCATGGGCTGTGAAGTGGGGGGGCCGGCAGGAAGCATTTACTTACCTTTCCTGCAGCTCCTGTCAGCTCCCTTCTCCTCCGTTCCGGTCAGCTCCACAGTAAGTATCGCGGTCTGGTTGCCGCGACTCTCTAAGTTGCCATAATACAGACAGTGACTCGAGTATAAGTCGAGTGGGGGTTTTTAAGCACAAAAAATGTGCTGAAAAACTAGACTTATACTCGAGTATATACTGTACATGGATAGAATAAAAAAATGTGTAGAAAAAAAAATACTGAAATAATTAAGGCAGTGCGAAGTAGTGGGAACTATAAGCTGAGGTTGGGTATGCATCTGTTGCACCTTTATCCAGAATTGTTGTCAAGATCCATTGAAGACCTTTAGTTTAGAGCCATTAGGAACTCAATGAGTTCCAAAATTCACAGGCCAGAAGCATGTCACTAATTGACTTTTCCCCTCAAACTCTTCCCGTACTGATGTCTTTGCCTTTTTCTCCTAACGGTATCTTCATAATTTGGGTCGTTGTTTAGAAACGTCCCATGTGTAGACTGCGTTCTAACACGATGTTCCGAAGGAACTGGCATTACCAAATACACTAACATTACCCTAACATGCTCAGATACTGTAACCTGCTCAGGTAATGGTGTTATGTGTAGAATATTTGGTTAAACAATTTAGTACAAACAGGTGCTAATTAAAGTTGTTGCAGTGGGTTGGCACATTATGGAACTCTCAGAGTTAAATGTAATATTTTTTTTTTTTCCTGCACAGCCATTGGTCTCATCTCTATACTGGTATTACATATTAGAATTGGGATTTTACTGCTCCTTGCTTCTCACCATAACGTTTGATGTAAAGAGAAAGGTGAGCACTATGTATATAAATACAGGGTAGGCCAAAACTCAGAGTAGGATATGGCAGGTAAATAACATATTTGTTAGTAGTTCAATCTTTTTTGTTGCAGGTACATATTATAAACTGAGTCTTTGAAGATTTATCATGGGTAATTTCACGAAGGAACAAAAAGTGAAAATAGTGGAATTTTATTTTCAAAATGGCAGGTGTGTCATTTTGACGCAAAAAGCTTACCACCGCCACTTCAATGTAAGCCTCCACATTCACCCGACCTTTCAGATCACGTTTTCTTCCTGTGGGGTATCTGAAGGAGCTGTTGTACGCGAACAAACTGCGTACAGTTGAGCAGCTCAAGGAGAATGTCCGAGCAGAAATTTGAGCACTAGAGCCTCAAACATTAACTAACGTCATGATCAAGTCAACCAAAAAAAAAAAACTTTGCGAGGCAGCAAATTAAGCTCATTTAAAAGATGTCATCTTCCATGACTATTCAAACAAATCTCCATATGTTAGGCAATCATTGTATATAATGTCATTGAAATTGATTTGTTTTTTAAAAAGGTATTCACTACTCAATTCCTACTGTGCATTTTGGCCCACCCTGTATATAAATATTGTGTAGGTTCTATTTCATGATCAATGTATGAAATGAAGAGTTACTCAGATTCCCAGTGTGTTAATATAGACTCCCTATAATACAGACTGACTGGTTAAGAACCCGGATAACAGGACATTTTCCTTTTGCGGTCTTTCTTCTTCCCTCTGTTTTTCTCATTCCACCTCGACACCCCTATTAATATTTTCCTATAAATTGTATCAACAAAGCAGTAACGCATTGTTTTGATCCCGGCAGGACCTGAAGGAACAGATAATCCATCATTTTGCCACTATTTTCCTGATATCGTTTTCGTACTGTGCCAACTACATACGTGCTGGAACATTGGTGATGCTTCTGCATGACTCCTCCGATCACATCCTGGAGGTGAGGAGATCAAAAATCCTGTAATAGTGTCACCAAAGGAAACACTTGCTAAGAGTTAGCATAGTAAGCACACTGATTTCAGCCACCGCTCACTGTCTAAGGGCGATAGGAGTGTTTTGAAAGCAGCTGGATGTCTTCCAGTTGGCGGCCGTCTCAGCTAGCTAAGCTTTGTTGGAGAAGCACAAACATTAACCACAGAATGGGAGATAGATGTTAAACTTGGCTCCTTAACAAAGAGACCTCATTGATGCATTGTGTTTGGTTCTGGAATCTAGAGTATTAGAAACACAAAAGTAAATTTGAAAAGGAGGAATTACGATTGCAAAGGTCTATTCACTAAACAGTGCATTGTAGCAAATGCAATTCCAGTTCACTGCAATTTGGTGTTCAGTGAATAAACTGTGAGAAACTATTTATGCCTGCTGAAGATTAAAGGTACACCCAGACACCATAACTACTTCATTGAAATGTTGTTAGATATCAAAGTTGTTATGGTGCCAGGAGGCCCCTTGCCAGTTTCATGAGTGGGAAGTTACTGATTGGCTGAGAGCATCAGCTCACTGCTCTCAGCCAATCAGATTTTGAGCAAGCAGATGGACAAAGGGACAGAGAGATCCAGCGCTGGAATTCAGACTTTGGGAATAAACTGAAAGTAAAAATAGATAATGGTAGGTAACTATAATGTAAGGTATAAAATTAAAAGTGGGCTGCTGCATACATTTAAAAGCGACTGTAAAGAAAGAATCTGAGGTCAGCATCAGAATGACCCTCCCACCCACTCCTCATTTCAACACTTTCTCTTTTCTTTCCATTTACTTTACTTTCTTACTCCTTGGTGGGCCCTCTTTATTTACAGGCCTACCGTATCGTCGGTCTCGGCACACCACAACCGACTTGCTCCCTTTATACTATCCTACGCTTATGCTGGATCCTTACTCCATGTACGACTATTTGCCCCTTACACAAATATATATATATATATATATATATAGAGAGAGAGAGAGAGAGTGACGCACAATGTCTCTAAAAATACATATATTTAATAATAATAATAGATCAAAAATTAAAAAAAAAAATCTAAATTCCAGAATTCTCTCACAAATTAAACTGGGTTTCAGATATAAAATGTACCCAAGATACACCAATAATGTAGTATTGACAATTGAAAAACCATCCTGAGAGGATGATGTAAACCCAAACTATGAACAGAGCCGCCCCCCCCACCTCAGAAAATGCAACAGTATCACAGGGAGAAGCAGCTTGTTGCAATCTGAAGTGTGGATCCGCTGTGTCAGTTTGTGTCAAAACGCAAAATGGATACATACAAACAAAACGCCAGTGTGAATATAAATAAAAAATTCTATCAGCAGTAGGACAAAAAACCTATATGATCCCCAGTAAAAAATTTAGATAATGTACTTTAACCTGAGGTAAAAAGTCCCTTGCTGTGGCAGGCGATAGGACGGGTAAACAGTGTGATGGAACTTCAGACAGAATGCTCGCTGTAGATACTGAGCGCTCAGCTCAGCCGTGAGCAGATATGTCACCTTGGGGGATACGTGCAAACACAACGACCCCAGAGTTTATATCTTGCTGAATATTTTTGTTTGTTTTTTGAGGAATGAAGCTACTTTAAGCCTTTCCCGTGACTGCTGTAGAGGCTGTCGTGTATATACGCATGCTATAAAAGATCTTTTATAAACTTGGTAGGAGAAGATCTTGTAGCTGCACTTTATTACTTACTTCTTACTGCTACTGCAATTATCTATATAAAAACATACTTGCCAAGAGTCCCAAGTCTGGTGGGTCAGTCCTGTTTTAGGGCCTTCTCTGGTGTCTTGCTTATGGGAAAAAGTCACCATAACATGCAGTTTTTACATGGAATTTCCACTCATACTTGAGTGCTTTATCAGCGTTCTGCATATAAGAGGCTGTGGTCGTCTTGAGCATCACCTAAGGTGACAGCTGCATCTCTGGAATGCCCCACACTCACCCCAGTCCCCACTATGCCCAAAACCAATGTTGACAGCAAAGAGAATCAGAGGCACTTCAAACATTATACATTACTGTTTTTGAAGTGCCCTTTAAAAAAAAAAAAAAAAAAAAAGTAGATCCCCAGATGTTTGAAAACTATAACTTCTATGATGATTTGTCATTCTAAAGGCATGGAAAGCCTCATGGGAGTTGTAGTTCTACAACATCTTTAAACTATGGAGTACAATCTGGATTTAAACGTTACTTTAAATTTATGGGATTAAATAGAGATAGAGAATTAAAAAAAAAAAAAAAAAAGGAAAAACCATTTGCCACGCATGGGTTACTAGGTGCCTGGCACAGGCAGTCCTGTTACTCCCCCAACACTCAATTCAACAAAAAGGTATCCCGAATTTACAGCTTCAAACTCTGAGGTAGAACAAAGCTTCTTGTTACAGTGAAATGTAGATCAGATCCCTCCAGAAAGAAACGTTCAAGCCATTCTCTGTACTTCTCATAGAGCAGTGCTTTCAGATGGAGCAAAGCCATATGTCACGGAACAAAGACTCATTATTCCCTCTTCACCCCCTCCTTTCTGAATCTGTTGTCTCCCCTCCTACCTTATCCTGTGTGGGAGGCGAAAAGAAATCTCTCGTCCAAAATTTAGAACGCAACTATGTAACACTAACCCAGAAAACTCAAAAATCACTACAACGGATGATGTAATCCACCACGGTTCATTTTGATTGGAAATTCAAGCTTTATGTAGGATTTAGCATTTTCGCACTTGGTTTAAAGTAATTAAATTCCTTATTTGAAAGACAGGTTTGATTTGACATTGTCCAGGTGAGAAAACAATTCAATGAAAAAAAATAAAAAAAATTGAGGAGTACAGAAAGTCATTGTTCACATAATAGTGATATATAACAAAGCGATTACTTACTCACTAAATATGAAATGGTCAATGTGCTTTAAAAAATGGAAAACAAATATTTTCAATTTGAAATAAAATTCCTGATAGGCATTATATAAAGGTCGCATTCATAATGAGTGAGCTTGTTACAGCTTCGTTAGTGAGTTGAAGGGATTATTTTTTTTTATGTTTATCATTAGCTTTAAATGTTACGAGGTACATAATGTCAAGAAGTATCACCTGAGATTCGCCTGCATGTTACGGCGCACAGTAACTCATCTAGTCCACCGAATGTCCACTGTCCACGTTAGGTTAGTGCAACGTCCTCAGGAGGTTATGGCGCTCTAAAGACGCTGGGTACACCATTATAATGATGACCTCCTTTTATTTATGGTGTAACAATACCGCTCTATAATAAATACAGAATCACATTAAGGGCACATCGCACAAATAGAAAAACAGTCCAATGTTAGATTTTACAAGGCGGCTTACTCTTTTTGAGTGTATTATGTTCCTGTAGTGTGCTCTCGTTATAAATTTATGTTTTTACAGCAGTACCATTATCAAGACATGCGTGCTGTGTTTGTGGCCTCTAATTCTTTTTTTCAGTGTCTCTGTGATAACCCGCACACTTTTTACTCAAAGTTATGATGATGATCATAATGCAGTCTGCTAGGTATCCAGCTGACACTTTGATAACTGTGTGCCCAGTATTAGCTGGAGAATCACAGGCCAGGAAACCGAGAGACACTGCCTCTGCCAAATCTGATTGTAAATGACACTGCCATTTTACAGCTCCTATCATGTGTTTGCTGTATACAAAGAAAATAAAATCTGAATCCATAATATCAGGAAACCGAATACCTCGAGCCCCTCTCCTATTGCAGCCTGTAGGTTACAGATTAAAAGATTTGGAGGCTACACATGTGGTGTCACAGATCCAATCCCCCTCTGCTTCAGTAAACAAAAATTTAAAGGGACACTATAGTCACAAAAACACATTAAGCCTAATTAAGAAATGTTGGTTCATAGATCATTCCCCTGCATTGTCACTGCTCAATTCTCTGCCATTTAGGAGTCACTTTGTTTATGTAGCCCTAGGCACACCTCCCTGCATGTGACTTACACAGCCTTCCTAAACACTTCATGAAAAGAGTCATCTAATGTTTACACTTCCTTTATTGCAAATTCTGTTTAATTTAGAATTTCATATTTCCTGCTCTGTTAGTAGCTTGCTAGGCTCTGCATGAGCCTCCTGTTTCTGATCAGTTTAATTTTACAGAGCAGGTAAAAAAAATAACTTTTAAAGTAAGTTACATCTAATTGGAATTGAATCCATTTTGCTTTTGATACAGGCTGTCAGTCACAGCCAGGGGAGGTGTGGCTAGGGTTGCATAAACAGAAACAAAAGTGATTTATTCCTAAATGGCAGAGAATTGAGCAGTGAGACTGCAGGGGCATGTTCTACACACCAAAACTGCTTCATTAAGCTAAAGTTGTTCTGGTGACTATAGTGTCCTTTAACCACATTCCAACGTTCAAGAGGGTTTTTAAACCTTGAAAAATCTGTATTCTTGTTCCAAAGCATTAATACATCCAGTAATGTTATAAACATGAGAGCTGTCAGGTGCTGGAGTACCTGATCTTTAAAGTATGGTAGCTAGAGAGGACCCAAGGAAACACCAAAAATAAAAGCAATATAAAATACAATGTGTAAATAAAAGGCGCTAACTTTAAAAAAAAAATGCAAAAAAATAAATTAACCAAAACCGTGTACAGCCATCAATAAAAGTAAACAGATTGAATAAAAAAATTAGAGCAGAAAACCTGATCGGTTTAAGACTTTATTATTCCCTATTCCGGTTGTACCTCATTCCTCATTATTTTGTTTTCTGTTAAATTAGTGCCTTTTCTTGGCTTTCCCTTTTAGGCTTGGCTGACTGTTATTCTTTGGGGACCTTTAACTAACTTGTGTTGATGATAGTAACATATCTAAAAAGTCATACTTTTATTTGTGTGTTTTATAGGAATTGTCATGTTTGAGCGGCTGAAACATAATAAAAACTTTAGTTTAAACTTTTTGTCAAAATTGACACCTGACCACATAAGGCTTTATAAATGTGTTCACTGTTTCTTTTCTTCCTAGTTAGCAAAGATGTTTAATTACACCAAGTGGAAGAGAGTGTGCGATGTCCTATTTATCATCTTTGCTGTGGTTTTCTTTGTCACACGCCTGTATCTTCTCCCCACGAGGTGAGTTCTGAGAATTAATAGTTTCGTTTTTGTGATTGACACTTAGAAACCTAAGCCACACTGGAGTTGTTGTGTGAAAGTGTATCTGTGACGAAGGTATAAACGTTTGCAAAACAGATAACATCTGAAAAGCTGGATTTAATAATTCCTGGGAAAAAAAACCTATTCAATTATTTATATGCAATGAATTAATAAACCTATACAATACAATTATCAAAACAATTTAACAATTTAAAACAATATGCTTACATTCACATCTTGTAGCTGCACAGCTGACTGAGAACAGGAAGGGACTCCATGAATCGGGAGTCTGTCCCTATTTTGATTTTGAATGTATCCCGCAAACCAGAAATTGACTAAACAAAGGAGTAAGTTAAATCACTGAGGTTGGAAGTCACTCTCAGCGAGGAGAGCAAGTGCCTTGTACTCGCTGCACTATAACCTTTACAGTACTAAGGTGTTTAGAGTGACTGTTTAAAGGACCACTATAGGCACCCAGACCACTTCAACTCAATAAAGTGGTCTGGGTGCCATGTACCCCTAGTTTTAACCCTGCAGCTGAAAACATAGAAGTTTCAGAGAAAACTGCATTTTTGTTTTTAACCCCTTAAGGACACGACTTCTGGAATAAAAGGGAATCATAATGGAATATTTCCGTCATGTGTCCTTAAGGGGTTAAATTGTCTTAAAATCTGGTTTGATGTTCAGCTGCAATAATCAACAAACACAATCTGTGTCCAATGAATTAAATGAGATTGGAGGTGTGGGTTAGAGCTAGTTTTAAGAAGCACTCATGTACTTTGAGTTAGCTATTTACAAAAAGAATCTGTTGTTGTGAATCGTGCCTTGCAAAAAGCATTCAGAAAACCTGTGGTCAAGAATTGTTATGTTGCATAAAACTATAAAGGGTTACAAAGTTATCTCAAAGAATTTAGCTATTTATCTGTCCACTGTTGAACAAATTGTCTATAAATAGAGACGACTTAGTAATCTGGCCACTTTCCACTCCACTCAGAATATATCTATAGTTTATTGGCCCAGCATATCAGCATTATGTTGCAGGCAGGGCGTTATCGTTAGTGTGTGTCGGTCATGATATGAATGCTAGCTGTAGTCTGAATCGCTGAAATGTGACTAATAGTTGAATGTGTTCATATTTGCACCTTATGTTCCTGACTACTATATAATTGCACTTTATGTGTATGGCCAATGTACTTACATATGTGCTCACAATTAGCACTTTGTTATTGGTCAATGTGTTTGTAGTTGTGTTCTGTGCGTATGATATATATAATTACTTGAATTGTGGTATGCCCTTATTGTCACATTAAAAAGGTATATTGTTGAGATTTCTCATTTTATTTGCACTTGATTGTGTTAATTGTATTAGTAGTTTGATACACTTTATTTGCACGAGGTATGGTTGGCTTATATTGCATAGAAATTTTTAGTTTGGACTGGGGACTATAGTCTATGTAGCGGAATTGTTTAATATTGGTGGCATTTTTTCTCATGGTATATTTTGTTAATCGTTATTGTATTTTTGATCAGAGGCCAACTGTGTTTCATTGTCTTTGTACGTACACTGTACAGTGATAATAAAGTTGAATCTGAAACTTAAAGTCCGAAAATAGCCTCTCCATGGAAAACAGCTCTGATTATAAATAGCCCGGTTAATTGCTTCTTAGTCCCATATCATTTGTTACTTTTTTTTTCTAAAATGCATAATGTTTTGCAGGACATAGGCACGCATAAAAAAACTGCATACATATGAAAATTATCTCAAGGAAGTGTATTTTTATAATTGGATACTATATTTATTGATAGCTCAAGAGTCACTGTATCCCAGCATTCTTCTTACAGTGTCTGTACTACATGATGAACAGGTCATAATACAAACGCTGGTTTTTATTCTTTTTGTTCCTGGGTATAAAACCCATTTAGTCATCTTTAAGGGTTGCTCCAACCAAAAACAGTTGTTTTGTTTAGACTAACCCTTAATATCCTGGTTCTTCCTCCTCTCCCCTGATCACAGGTTTAAGAAACGTTTTTTAAAAAAGCTAAAACTTTTCAGTTTTCCAGTGCAGAGGCCAAATTCTCCCCTAAGCGCGATCCTCCTCTGTTGATATCACTTCCCCTAGCTGCCAGGAAGGGGGTGAGGATGTTCTGGGGAGGGACATGGGCTGCATAAATTGATAACACTGCCGTAGGTGAAGTATCAATTTTGCCAGTAGAGGGATGAAACTCAGTATGATCAACGTTTCATAGCAAAACGTTGCACATACAGGCTCCAGGCACCATAACCACTTCACACCACTGAAGTGCTTGTGGTGCTTGTAGTGATCCTTTAACAAATAAATGAGCGTGTTAATAGTGACTTCAGTATTTATAAAAATTTCCAGCCAAATATTTTTGCTTTTCTCTGAATATGTGGCCATCAAAACAAGTCTGTTAATAATGTCACTTGATTGACACTGCAGTGTTGTTCCATTCATAAGTGCCGAACATTAGTACAGCACATTTCACAATGGTTATTGGGACCTGCATTCAGGGTGCTATTAAATGTGATGGTACTGTAGACAGAGTGATATGTCTCCAATCGCCCCCTTTTTAAATAACAGCAGTAAGTATTATAGAATACAGACCTAGCCGCACCCCTCCTTGATGTGACTCACTCAACCTGCATGAAAAAAACATTTTCAATCAGATATTAACTTGCATTAGAAGTTTTTATCTCCAGTTCTGCTAATTAAACTCTAATCACACACTTTAGGTTCCTGCGGAGTCTAGAAGGCTATTAACAAAACAGGCGATATTAAATTCTAAATTAAACAGAATTTGGACGTTAAAACATTAGATCTCTCCTTAGAGGAAGTGTTTAAGAAGGCTTACATGTGTAAGTCACATGTAGGGAGGTGAAACCAGGGCTTGTATAAGCAATGTGATTTAACTCCTAAATGGCAGAGAATTGAGCAGTGTGACTGCAGGGACATGATCTATACACCAAAACTGATTCATTAAGCTAATGTTGTTTTGTTGCCAACCTTTTGTTCTTTACCAATTAGAAAGTACTATATATCTAAAATGTTAGATTAACAAACTGTAGGTGGAAGTTAAAGCACTAATTTGTATTTTGTTCCTTTGACAATTATTTAAATAGTCAAATGAGATTCCAGCATCATTGGTGTAACGGATCACCTGGCACCCCGACTGGGTATCTCCGTTGAAGGATGCTCCTAGCGCTTCCTGAGGGCTCCAAGCACTCCAGCCGACACCATAACCACTGTAGACTCCTCCAGAGAGCAAGGCAGGAACAAGCTCTTACAAGAGCTTAGTAGTGATTTAGCAAGGGAGTATGACAAGCATAGCAATCCCTTGTAGCAGATTCCCCCAATAAGAGACAGGACTCAGATTGAAGTAGAACTGAAGCTTTTAATCAAACACTCTGCTTTTATGCAATTCTCCCGTGCAAGGGAGACGCCCACAGACAATTATGAATTACCCAATCACACACTGGTTAAATCCCACACATCTCCTCCCCTTAGCCTGAGAGGTAACACAATTAGCCGTACAATTTAAAATATACTTTTTACCCAACTTTCATAACTCTAAAACTATACATCCAATATTAATAAAACATATTATTAATCAGCATATTTCAGCATATTAATCAGCATATAAATACAAACATACCCAAAAATCATTCGAATCCGTTCAGCCGTTCGGGAGATAGATATAAGTCACCTTTGACCGACCGCAAGCACATTTTCATGCCCAAAACAGTTCCAGAGAATCAGGCTGTGCATCCGGTCTATTTCCCATGTTAAAGTCAGTTCAAACAGACGAATGACAACCGAATTGTCGAATGTACCGTCGAATGCATTAGTTCCAGGGAAGGTAAAACTTCACCGGTGTTCGTGCCGTTCTGTAGCCGATTTTAGTTCCATGAGTTTGACGGCACACACTGCTGACTGCATTTGAATGAATCAAAATGTCCGCCGCCATGTGTTTGGTTTTCTAATGGCGGCCACTTCGACTACTTCGGCTGCATCCGAAGTGCCATGCCAAAACTGCAGGTCCTTTCCCAAAGTACTTAAAAGGCCAGAAACAGCACAATAAAAATCCATTATGCCCAAATACAGTTCTTAAAGGGCCATACACAGTCCAATACAAGTCCATAAGCCCCAAATCAGTTCCTTTAAGGGAAATACATCCCAGGGGCCATAGTCACATGGCAGGAGGCTGGCAATCAGTCTTCTCCAATGCCCAGTGGCGAGGTTGGTTTTGCCATATTTGGTACATGCAAATACTTTAAAAATAAGGAATAGGGGGAACCCCTTTACAAAAGGAGACTCCGTGCCTTGAAAAAAAAATCTAATTACTGGTCATTGGATAAGCTGATCTATTTTCCATATGTAAATAAAACCCTGTATCTCTGTTCAGTGCAATGAATCATTTTATTGCTGGCATCTCTGTATTAGGTTGCCATCTAGTGTTTGTAGTACAGTACTACAAGACTTGTTATCATGTGAATTAATGGCAATAGTGAGAGAGTAGGAGGGAACTGATCAGTTACTTGCAAGAACTGCTAATCACAGTGACGTTAGGGGACCAGTAACATGGATTAATCCCCTATATTCACTATAATTAACATCTACTTAAAAAAACACCTTTATGAGACTTTTCATGATATTACGGGGGATCTCGAAATTTGGCACCGAGGATGAAAATTCTACTACAGTAAACAATTTTGGGCAGCTGCATGGGGCGGACATGACTATAATGTATCTCTTCCAAAACCTGGGACCTATTGAAATAGCTATGGGGGCCAAATGTGGGGTTAAGAACGGCTAACCTCTTTATTATCACCATAGTTTGCTTTCTATTGAAAGAAATAGGTTTGCACTCATTCCTGCTTCTATCGGAGTGGACACTCCATTCCTGCTTCTGTCGGAGTGGACACTCCATTCCTGCTTCTGTCGGAGTGGACACTCCATTGCTGCTTCTGTCGGAGTGGGCACTCCATTGCTGCTTCTGTCGGAGTGAGTCCAGGTGATCACAAAGTGCTTTTAGAGCTGTTTGTATTCCAGCACTTTACGTTTGGAAGTGTGTTGTATTCACAATAATTAGCTGGTTCTTGGTTTTTGTTATTCTTTGTATTTTTTCCAATTTTTTTTTTTATAAAGCTAATTAAAGATTGTGAAGTTTGTATCTATCTATAAGCAATCCACTTTTGGAAATTAATAACGTCTTCCATATTGGTACGTTCCTTGACTTCCGAATACGGTGTGATTTTACTCACACCACTCATTATTTATCATGCCTCCCAACACTATTTAGTGCTCATTTTTTATTGCACGCAGCATAAAATTGCTACAATAAATGTAGATGACAGTTTTTATATTTTAAAGGATCACTATAGTGTCAGGAAAACAAACCCGGTTTCCTGACACTATACAACCCTTAGGGTCCCCCCCACCATCAGGGCCCCCCTCCTGTGGCGCTGAAGGGGTTAAAAACCCTTCAGCCACTTATCTTCCTCGGCGCTGGTGACCTCTCCTCTACCGCCAATGTCTGCTCCCAAGTGGAGCAGAATGCGCATGCGCGGCAAGAGCCGCACGCGTATTCAAACAGTCCATAGGAAAGCATTTTTTAATGCTTTCCTATGGACTTTCTGCACGCTGGATGCAATTTATTTATTTATTCCCACATCCAGCGTTGTCAGGAAGACAGCCACTAGAGGTTGGATTACCCTGCTATGCAAACATACATCTGAAGGGTTAAATCCTGGGGGACCTGGCACCCAGACCACTTCATTGAGCAAAAGTAGTCTGGGTGATTATAGTGTCCCTTTAATGTAGGTGTTGGTATAATTGGTTATATTAGGTTTGTTGGCAGTAAAACTCACAATTTGAAAGGGGAAAGGTAAATAAATAGTATTAGGGTCTAGAAGGATAGCTGATAACCATCCATCTGTCTTCTAAATTAATATCACCATTGGATGCTACAGCCTTCAAAAGGCTAAAATCCCAATAGTCATACTCCATTCTAAAGGGGCCATCCTATGGCTCAGGATCCCATTGCTGGGCTTATGCCTGCTTACATATCTAGAAGGGTTGGCCTAGTGTAGAAGAGCCAACTGAAGGATTGCGTCTCTGTAAGTTAACTAGTAAGCCTTAAACTTTTACAGAACTCTGAAAACACTGATCCTTACAGACAAACGTACAAGTCGAGGCTTTGCTGCGGAATGCAATTGCCACTTGCCTTCCAATAACAGAGCAGGATTTTATTCTCTATATATCTCATTTGTTTTTAAGATATTTGTTTGTGTTTGTTTATTTAAAACAATGCCAGTAGGTAGGTTGTCTTGTATAATAAGGTGTCGGGGGGTGTTCATCGGAGACTGTTTAACATGTTCTGGAACTCAGAGAATCTCAATGTGGTTGCAATTTTTTCTTCCCAAATGTTTAACCCCTTAAGGGCCAAACTTCTGGAATAAAACGGAATCATGACATGTCACACATGTCGTGTGTCCTTAAGGGGTTAAATGGAAGGATATTTTGGAGGTTGACGGTTGTTTTGTTGTAGTGTCACATGTTTTCCGTCGCTTTTATTATCACATTTTTCTTTATCGGTAATTGTCAGGTGACAGAACCACATTAATGTAAATATTTTTTAAGCTTGATAAGTGTGCCTTTCTTAAACTGGTCACACGAGGTTGTCAGTGTATTTATCAGTTAAAGGGACGCTCCAGACACCCAGACCACTTCTGCCCATTGGAGTGGTCTGTGTGCCAACTCCCACTAACCTTAACCCTGCAAGTGTAATTATTGCAGTTTTTTATAAACTGCAATAATTACCTTGCAGGGTTAACTCCACCTCTAGTGGCTGTCAACTAGACAGCCACTAGAGGGCACTTCCTGCTCTGTAGCAGAGAAAACCTGTGCTAGAGCGTCGCTGGAGGTCCTCACGCTGTGTGAGGACCTCCAGCGTCGCTCAATTCCCCATAGGAAAGCATTGAAAAGCATTATATATATATTTTTTTTTTGTCCAGTTTATCTTGTCTATGAATTCTGGTTTCTCTGATCTGGATACGTTTTTGACCTTGAGTTGTTTTTTACGACAAGGATAAATAGATGGAAGGGGGATATGAGATTGGAGGAAGGAGCAATTAAATGGGGGCCATAAGATGGGAGAAAGGGACTTGAAATGTGAGATATGCAATGGGAGGAACGGTAATGAAATATATATTATATTACATATACCCATTGCACAGCGCTACGGAATCTGATGGCGCTATATAAATAATAAAATAATATGTATGCAGTGGGAAGTAGGGAGCATTGAAATAAGGGAAATATGAGATGGGAGGAATGGACAATGAAATAGGGGATACTATATAGAAGGAAGGAGCATTGAAATGGAAGGACATAAAATGGTAAGTAATAAAAGTCAGGCATGTGTGTTTGGCTATTTTTGTATGTAACTTCAAGGCAGTATGACCAGCCTATGGTTATTTGTGTATATATGTAGGTAATTTTTGATTACAGTTCACATTTTAGTAAGTATACTGCGTTAAAACATACTGTTTGTGTTATTATAGTGTATGATACCAATTAAGTATGCAATATATTTATGCACTAATAATGCAATATGGATAATCTTCTATTATAAAAATAATGTTAAAAAAACCCAGGCGTTACCATTGGGTGTACCTAAAGCGGAGATAAATCAATTAGCAGGTACTTACTCGTTTGATTGGCGCAAAGATTTTCTAACATACCTGGGGATAAAACTTACTAAAACGAGCTCTCTCTTAATTAAGCACAATCAAATTCCTGTATTACATAAGTTAAAAGATCAGCTAAAAAACTGGGGGGCTTTGGGGACATCTTGGTTAGGACGTGTACATATAATTAAAATGATGGCCTTACCCTATATATTGTATCTTTTTCAAACTATTCCTATAGCTGTGCCAAAAAATGTATTAAAAAAATTTCAACATATGTTTAACATATATATATATATATATATATATATATATATATATATATATATATATATAAAAACGCCAAGGGTGGCAGCTAGGCTTACAGAGCTTCCATATCTACAAGGCGGATTGGGCATTCCTAATATTATTAAATATTATCAGGCATCTGGCATCTATGTTGTGCTGTGCTTTGGCAGTACTTTTCCGTTTATGGTTAAAACTGGAACAAGCTTGCGCTAAACCCTATTTAATAGAAAAACTTTTATGGAAGACCTTAATGAATGGGCAAAAACATGCTTTCTACGACAAAATTAATGCTCTATCATTGGTCCAAATGGACTCCTAAATTGCTAAAAGGTGTAAAGCTATTAGTCTTAGCACCATTATATGTAATAAAGTACTTTATACAAGATTTAAATTTGAATACTTGGGAAACTAATGGCATTAGTAATGTGCATATGTTATATAATGAGGTAGGGATCAAATCGTATCCTAGTTTGCAGGCAGAGTTTGCCCTTCCGAATAAACAGGTATTTTCGTATTTAAGGATCAAGAATTTTTTGTTAGAAAATAAGCTGTCAAAATTAGATATGGCCTTAGTGACTTGGTTGGGTAAATTCTGTTTAAACCCTAATATGGAGAGTAAACCTCTTTCAATATGCTATAAAAGCCTTTTATATGTAAATGGGGATGAAAAGTCGCCTTATATGATGTTATGGGAATGAGACCTATTAAAAACCTTTGATCTATTCCATTGGTATCAAACCATACAAATCACTAAACAAATATCTCACAGCCTTACATATTGGGAAGCTTATAGCAAAATATTAATGCATTGGTCTTTAGTTCCAGCAAAATTGTCTCGAATGTATGAAGCTACCTCTGACAGGTGCTGGAGGTGTCAAAGGGAGAAGGGAACTTTATTACATATTTTCTGGGATTGCTCTCGTCTTACACAGTTTTGGAATGATATTAAATTATTAATTCAAATTTTAATGGATACAGTGATACCGAATTTCCCTCCTGAGTTCTATCTTTTACATATATACCAAGATTGGTGTCGAATAAAAAATAAAGTAGTTATTATTCATATATTAATCGCTGCAAAAATAAGCATTGCTCAAAATTGGAAAAAAACAGTGAATTAGGGATTTAAATATCCCTCTCTAGGCTCTGATTTGTCAGATGGTGACCTCTGACCCCAGAACGTGCACGTGCGTTGACGTCGTGACGTCACGCGCACGTTTGTATAATTTTGGGGGGTGGAGCCATGGATGGACGCGACCTCATGGCCGGCGCCATCTTGGATTTCACCAAGCGGCGTGGAGAAGCGGTTCCCGGCTTGCCGCTGAGCAGGTAAGCTCAGTGAGTTGGTGCAGTCGGGCACGGACGCACATGGCGGCGAGCCAGGGGCCGTGACAGGAATCTGTATTGTGAATTACTGCAAAATGCCTGCAATTACTTATCGGATGATGACATGTATTGGCTGTTTATCGGCTCCCGGCAAGACTTCTAATCGATACAATTTACCGCTATGAAAGGTTTAATGGGAGACGATAGGTATCAGAATGTTATCAATTTCCCAAAATCAGTCATGTTCACTGGAATGATCAGATTCAGCCTTACAATAACATTTATCAAGGATATAATCCATGATAAAGGGTCTTGGAAACAATAACAGCCTATTCTGATTCACTTGTAATGGCATGTCTACCCACATTGTATATTTCATTAGAGCACGAACCCACTGGCTTGGTGGAAACATTACGTCCTCCCATTTATTGATATTAAAGCCCTTAGCCCCTACCTATAAATGGAGACTGGTGGGTGAAAATACGTCCTTCCCCATGTTGCTTAATTACCTGCTGCTCATGGGTGGATCAGAGGTGGACAATATGTCCCCCATTCTTTATTATATCCTATACCTACTAACACTAACTCCCTCCATTAATTTTAATTAGAGCCCACTCTCGCTGGCCGTGGCAGGGGGATACTAAGTCCCCCCTTTCTTTTTAATTGAGCCCCACTTCACTCTCCATGGGTGAGGGTACATGGTAGACTATGCTGCACCCTTTACCCACTTATTTACTTAAGTTAGTAGCCCCTCCAGGGGAAAGGTGGACTGTAATTAGTCCAACCCCCTCTTTTTAAATTAAATCCCCCACCCGATACCCACGAATGAAGGCACAAGGGGAGGACCTGTATTAGGTTCCCCCTGTACATTACTATCAACTTGACAGCAATAGCTGGGGTGTGGGGAGGTGTACAACCTCCCCTCTACTATTGTGGGGGCATATTGATCCCCACAAACTTTTATTTCTTAATTTTTTCAATGACTCACAGGGTTAGTCATTAAAAGTCTGATAAATGAGCTTTCAAGACACATTTAATCGAAGGTTTCGTTCACAAGCAGACAACCTGTTTATCAGGTTCGGCTGCTAGAATTTTGACCGACATTAGATCCAGTCAAAATTAGTTATAAACATCATCCGAATGAATTTAATAATTTGAGGCTGAGCTTTGCTGAATAGTTTATTAGCTGTAAATTAAAATACAAGAAGCAAAATGTTGTCAAAAATAGCCAATGTTAGAAGACAATAGCTGAATTGGAGATTTCTTTCCCAAACCACAATCATTGTCTACACGTTCTAATTTTGATATCCGTTTGCTACAACTCAGTGCTTAGTAAATAATACTGGAAAATATCACGTTATTTCAAATATCTTACAGACTCTGACTTTTCTTTATAGAATCATCTACAGCACCTTTTACTACTCCATGGAAACCTTCCAGCCATTCTTTGGGTATTATTTTTTTAATGTGCTCCTGATGGTTCTTCAAGTCCTCCACTTCTTCTGGGCCTACTTGATCATACGTATGGTATATCGTTTCACGTTTGTTGGCACGGTAAGGACTTAACTTCATTTTTTTAATATCTAGCCCTATTAGTCTGATAGCAGTCAGTATTTAGTCAAAATAAACATTGAGCTGAGTGACTTGTAAACGTTCGTGGACAGGAGGGAAAAGAGGAAGCAATTGGATAATGTTAATAAGACTACATATTTTGGACTCTGTCTCGTTATCGTTATTGCAGATTCTCTTCTTGGGTATTTTTTGGTGTATAAGGGGTACAACTTGTATCTTGATTTGAAGAGAAGTGTCACTAAAAGGACCAGTGTACTCACCCAGAAATCTAAATGGAGTGGTCTGAGTGCCGTGGCTCTGTCGTTTTGGCTCTGCAATGTAAAACATTGGCATTAAGACAAAGTTTATATTGCAGGGCTAAACACACCTTTAGTGGCTGTCTTCCACTCTTTAGATGGTACTTCTGCACTCAGAATCGAGTCAGGCTCTGTTCTTTGTGAGGATGTCGAAGTCCTCTGATGCTTCCCATAGAGAAGTTTTGGATATGGTGCTTCTCATTTGATAGGAGGAGTGTGGCACTTACTGCTCGTATGCTTCTTGTCCCAATGCTTCTCTATGAGAAGCATTGCATTGGACAAGAAGACAAAGAAGAGTCAGCCTGGAGGAAGGTAGGCAGACAATGTAATAGAGCAGCAGGAAATGCTAGCAGGATGCTTGGTTGTATAGGGAGAGGTATTAGCAGTAGAAAGAGGGAAGTGCTCATGCCATTGTACAGAACACTGGTGAGACCTCACTTGGAGTATTGTACACAGTACTGGAGACCGTATCTTCAGAAGGATATTGATACCTTAGAGAGGGTTCAGAGAAGGGCTACTAAACTGGTTCATGGATTGCGGGATAAAACTTACCAGGAAAGGTTAAAGGATCTTAACATGTATAGCGTGGAGGAAAGACGAGACGGGGGGATATGATAGAAACATTTAAACACATAAAGGGAATCAACACAATAAAGGAGGAGACTATATTTAAAAGAAGAAAAACTACCACAACAAGAGGACATAGTCTTAAATTAGAGGGACAAAGGTTTAAAAATAATATCAGGAAGTATTACTTTACTGAGAGGATAGTGGATGCATGGAATAGCCTTCCAGCTGAAGTGGTAGAGGTTAACACAGTGAGGGAGTTTAAGCATGCGTGGGATAGGAATAAGGCTATCCTAACCATAAGATAAGGCTGGGGACTAATGAAAGTATTTAGAAAATTGGGCAGACTAGATAGGCCGAATGGTTCTTATCTCCCGTCACATTCTATGTGTCTATGTTTCTAAGAAGAGGTGGGAGGCGGAGCAGGCAGCTGCACGGATTCAGTCTAAACACTGGAAACAAGATAAGTAAAGCCTTATTAATCTTAAATCTTAAAAGGAGGAATTGAGGTTCCACATGCATGGGAATAGAGTATAGTGTAACAGTTCCAATGCTGTAACTGTCAGCAGGACGGTAAAACAATGGCATAACAGGAGTGACAACAAGGCACTGCTTAGTATATCATTCATCTTAAATAAAGATTTCCAAAAATATGTTATTTCATGTGCAGGTAGAGAATGATGTTCGAAGTGACATTGAGGAAAGTGAGGACAGTGGACAAGAAAATGGCAAGCGTTCTGGAAGAGAGAATGAAACAGACAAGTGGAGAAGCAACAACAACCGTGTTCTACAGAAGTTCACTGAAAATGGAATAGCCCAAGTCCATAATGGACACTTAAAGGCCAGTTAACCCTGGTTACTAGCAATGCACTGTGCTATGCTTGTCCTACACCGAGCAGGAGTTCAGTGCTGCTACATTGTGTTCATGGAACCCACCCATCTAGCACTTGTAGTGCTCTTCTTTGTAGCTAGAGGAACACAAGGTGTATTGCAGAGCAATGCCTTGTAGACCTCACTGCCTCTGAGTTAGTTGACTTCTTCGTTGCAGAGAGTGGTGGCGCAACTTAATTTATTCAACTATCGCACTATAATATACATGATTTTGGACACTAGGATCTCATAGTCTGCCCTTTTACATTGAGCCACATCTCATGATGGAATGATGAGCCACATGAAATGTGGTACTGTGAATATACTATGTAAGTAGATTAGTCATAGTTATTTAAATTATGTTCCTCTAAATTTTCTATATATTTTTTACCTTGTAGAAGAACGACATGAATGTGCGAAGCACTTAAAACAATTACAACCATTGAAGATGCTAACCATTTTGCATGGAGCTATCTGCCGTAGTTTTAGAGTAGACTGTATATGGTTGGGTACAGTAACTTATTGTTCTCACATTGACAGACAGCTGTGTTATACTGATTTTAGGGGAGATCTACATTTGCAGTGAGAGCATGTGCACCCTATCTTTGTCCAGCGTGGTTTGTTAAACATGCATGCTGATGTTAACATCAAGAAATAACAGCATATCGGCTATATACCAGGCATGGGACCATATGTATTTATTTATTTTAAAAAATGCGTGTAATTGTCTCACGAGCCAGGTGAAATACAAAATTTAGTGATGCAGTGGTAGGCAACCTTTGGCACTCCGGATGTCATGAACTACATCTCCCATGATGCATCTACAGCCATAATGGTGGCAAAGCAACAGGGGAGACGTAGTCCACATCATCTGGAGTGCCCACGGTTGCCCACCATTGGACTAAAGAGTCACTCTCTAAGGAACAAAGTGAACTACCAACATTAAAACAACCATAAGGAACACCATAAATCAGTGGTGGTGACTACAATGTGACAAAGTTAACATAATACAAAAGATGACAGTTTCTTTTAACTATTTAAAATAAATACATTTTATATGTAATTACCTCTTTGTGTGTTGTTTATAAGCATACGTATAAGTAAATACCTTTTTAAGTGCATCTCCTGGCTTACACTTAGTGGGTAGGGTCGGACATCTCTAAATCATCTTATGTTACAAGCACCATTTATTTAACCAAAGTCCGTACAGGTTACCCAGAGCTTGCGCTCATTCACAAATCCATAAGTCATGTGGAAGTGACAGCCACACTAGAAATGCTTCCCATACTGGTTCACGTTGGATGACGAAATCAAGGTTGCTTTCCCTATTGGTTCACATCTGAGCTGGATTCAGATGTTCAATTTGCACATAGTCCTTGCAGATATGTGGTGGCTCTGACCAACAAGGAGTTAATGATGACCCCATCCCAGTAAGCTAGAAAATGCACCGAAAAGAGGAATATGCTAATATTTATAACTTACAAAATAAAACACACAAAGGCTGTATTATATATACTACTATTCAGTAATTATAAAAAAAAAATGACAGTTTCCTTAATTAAGCAAGCATAAAATCAATACATGGAAAATGATTAATATATACACAGTATTCACATGTATCAGTCTGTGTTTAAAGGGTCAATAATGCCTTAATATATTTTTTATGAAAAACAGCAAATGAAGAGGAGCTCAGATGTGTTTAAATGTTGTTGATTTTGTTTAATCAGCTTTAGAATCAGCGCACTCTATAGAAAGGACCTAAAGAGAGAGTGATACATAGACACAGCGTGGGAAAAATCAACAAGTGGCACATTTTATTTAAATTCTGCATTTTCATTGGCTTCCTGGGTTTATTTGGCCAATCAGAATACAGCACAAACTCAAATGATGGTCATTGAAAGATAATGTATAGATAAGAATAGTGTAATGGCAGCCTCCTTTTATATAATGCATATTTACTGAAGCAAAGTAAGTTAACTAGTTCTTATTTATATTTTTCCATATCAGACCAAACAATTTATATTTCGATTTTCTCTGCCCTATCCTGAATGAGGCAGCAGTGCACCAGGAAACAATTGCTGTGTGTACTTCCGCTATGACTTCATGCGATACGGGCCTTGGATCAACCACGTGAGAAAATAACTTGAATTAATACCTGTAGCATTGGGAGCTGCTGGGAGTACAGGGTCATTTTACAGTATGAAAACCACGTCACAAAATTAAACAGGACAACTGCATCAGCTGCCTCTGAAGTAGTTAGGACGAGGTATTCAAATGTAAGTTTTTATCGTGCAAAAATGTCTTGTTACCAAAAAAAAAACGTATTTGCAATATTTCCTCATAGCATCTCAAAGTGATACTCCTTAAAATAAGTTAGTGAAATCATTTTAAATAATGCCCTAATCAATAAAGCTTAAAGGGATACTATAGGCACCAAAATAACTTTAGTTTAATGAAGGAGTTTTGGGGGGTGTGTGTGTGTATATATGTATATGATCATGCCCCATGCAGTCTCACTGCTCAATTCTCTGCCATTTAGGAGTTAAATTACTTTAGTTTCTGTTTATGCAGCCCTTGCCAAACCTCCCCTGACTGACTCACACAGCCTGCATGAAAACAAAATTCAATCAGATTTAACTTACTTTAAAAGTTGTTATCTCCTGCTCTGTATATTGAGCTTTAATCACATACACGAGGCTCCTGCAGGGTCTAGCAAGCTATTAACAAAGCAGTAGATGAAAAATTCTAAATTAAACAGAATTTGTAATAAAGAAAGTATAAACATTAGATGTCTCTTGACAGGAAGTGTTTGGAAGGCTGTGTAAATCACATACAGGGAGGAGTGACTAGGGCTGCATAAACAGAGTGATTTAACTCCTAAATGGCAGAGATTTGAGCAGCGAGATTGTAGGGGCATGGTCTATACACCAAAACCGCTTCATTAACCTAAAGTTGTTTTGGTGACTATAGTGTCCAATTAATGAAGCAGCTTTGGTGTATAGATTATGTCACTGCAGTCTCACTGCTCAATTCTCTGCCATTTGATTTAGATCACTTTGCCCTAGTCACACCTCCCTGCATGTAATGTGCACAGCCTTGATAAACACTTAACTGTAAAGCAAGGTCTATTGTTTAAACTTCCTTTATTGCGCATGCTGTTAAATATAGAATGTCTCCTGATCTGTTGTCTTTATTATAATTTATAAAGTGCCAAAACACAGCAGTAGATAAAAACGTCTAATGTATGTTAACATCTGATTGAAAATGAAACCATTTTTTTATTGCACGCTGTGTCAGTTACAACGAGGGGGAAACAGAAACAAAAGTGATTCAACTCTTAAATGGCAGATAATTTAGCAGGGAAACTGCAGGGGCATGATGTATACACTAAAACTGCTTCATTAAGCTAAAGTTTGTCCCACCACACTGGTGCCATATTTCTACAAAGGGGTGCAAATCAAAAGGGTAAAAACAAAAGGTTAATAATCGTATATGACATTTAACATAACAGGGTATTGATGATTGGTTTCATCTCAAATTGTAGGAGGCGAAATGCCTTTCACATATATAACAGGAGACAAGCAGGGTCAAATCTAATATCTTCGGGCCTCTTTGTTTCCCGACAAAAGATGTTCAACACAAATCATGTTTTTGTAAATGCGGAAAATAAAGTTTTAATCTTTACATCCAGGTGTTGCTCATTCATTTCCACGTATTGTGCACCTTCATTAACCCTTTTATTGCTGAGCCATTTTCCACTCCCGCCGTGAGCTTAATATTCAAGATTCTATCATTCTGTTTAAATGCAAGTTTCTGTATTTTCACCGTAATTTACCTTCACATATGTTGTTTTCTGCAGAGCACATCATTTAATTAAATAACGTTTGTTTCTTGAATTCATGCTAAAGTGTATTACAAATGATATTTAAAAAAAATAATAAATAAACGTTTATAGCAGAGAAACATTTATCCTTTGCGATGACCCTCTGCATATTTCAGAAGGACTGTAAAAAATAAAATAAAAAAAAACTCCCCTTCCTGGTCTATTCTAGAACTGCAGAATCTAACAAAAATACAGAGCTGCATTCTGGTAATCAAAGACAGAGGAGGTGAAATGGGGAGCTCGAGATATTTATGATCTTTATTTCTACTGAGCGTATTAGAACCCATCAAAGTTTTGTTGTACACCGATGAACGTTCCATTCAAATGACCAGAAGGCCTTGCTGACGCTCTGTGTAATTGTGGGCAATGTCTATTTCTCCAGTTTAAGATTGTATCATTCTGTTTCTGGAGGTACTTTTGCAGTCCTCAAGTTTTCAATTGTGTGCAGACATTTGTGCTGTAGACACAGGGGTGACCTGATTTGAGGTGCGGGCGCTCTGGAAGCGCTCACCGTTATGCATGACCCAATCCTGAAGAAATATTTTTTTGTTGTTGTCTTCTACTTTCCAGGGACTGGCCGAACGGTCTATTGTTCTCTACTATCACTTGACATATCTAGTTGCACTGGAATTGAATTATATACCAAGTGGGCAATCTCAGGCTTTAGTGTGGTTAGAAATGTAACTAATGGTATAGTGATTAGGCATAGTGTTTAATAAAACAAAATGGCTACAAAATCCTATATCTAATTTTTAGGATGTTTAAAAGATAGCCTATGACGAAGCCTATTTTGTAAAGCTTGCTCAGGCTGGTAACATTAGGCACTATAGATGTAGTAACAGTGTGTTGAGGTTTTGTACTTTAAATAGATACTGTGCAGTAAAAATAACCCCCTATTTTTAGAAATGGAGTTAAAAAAACAAGGCAAATGTTAAAAACGAAACAGTTAACCCCCTCCAAAGTTTATCTTGATGCACTATTTACTAGGTTTGCTTACAGCTACAGGCAGACAAGACCCTCACTACAAAGAGACTCGTATCCCATTGACGTCTGTACAGCAGGAGTTTATGGAAGAGAAGGTAGTTTATCCCTAAAATCAGTTCCACACTTCACGTAGGATGATTGGAAATGCTCTGAAACAGTTAATTGCCATACCCGATTCACTATTTAGTGTACCAGATAAAGTGCAGACCTCCGCAAAACCTCTCCTGGGAGGAAAAAGAGTCCGGTTACTATTCAGTAAATGATCCCAAAGAATCAAAATTAACTTTATATTTGGTCGTGATAAAGATACCATGACATCACTATTGTGCATCCTGTAGGGAGAAGTGAACTTTTAGAGATTTTAATGAATCTATTGCTGCAGTCATTTGTATCTGCTTTTACTCTACCTTAAATTTTTAATCACAGAGTAAATAAGACAAAATGTTCTTTTTTACAGAGTGATTAATTATAGCTTCAACATTGGCATCCGTGAATTGGGGCCCCAGCGGGTGGTAAAGGGGGCCAGGTTAGTGACATGAATTGCGTTGTAGCACTCAATGAAGTGGTCTGGTTGCCATTTCCATCCCAAATCCAATTTCACATGTTTTTGTTTTGTTTTTTAACGTAAATGTCCCAAACTGCTAAACTAATTTGGGAATCAGACCAATACGATTTCAAATACCTCCAGTCTCCCTCTGTGTATATTGGGGAGGGGGGAAGGGTTGAAATCTATTTATTTTTTTTATTTATTTATTTTTTTTAAACTGCCTCCATACAACGGCCCAGAGAGTGTGTATGCATTTTAACCTGGCACAATGGTTGATTACAGCCTTTCTATCATGACCAGAATTTTTTCAGCAATTTGAGCTACTGTAGCTCTTTTGCATGATTGGACCAGACAGGCTAGCCTTCTCTCCCCAAATGGATCAATTGACCATGATCCTGATGCCAGTTCACTGGTGGTGGTTCTTCTTTGCACCACTTTTGGAAGGTGCTAACCACTGCATACCTGGAGATGCTCTGACGTAGTCGTCTAGTCATCACTATTTGGCCCTTGTCAAAGTCACTCAGATCTCCTCACTTGCCCATTATTCCTGCTTCCTACACATAAAATTTAAGAACTGACTGTTCACTTGCTGCCCGATATATCCCACCCCTTGACAGGTGCCATTGTAACAATATAATCAATGTTATTCAATTAATCAGTCAATGGTTTTAATGTTCTGGCTGATCTATACATAGATGGTAAGAATTGTTCATAAAATTTACCAGAATCTGACTTTGTCATATTTTGTGGAGGACAGAATCTTCATTTTTCTCACAATTCGCAATTTATAACACGGCTATTGGCTGGCATCAGCCATCAGTCAAGTTACATAGATATAGGAGCAAAGTATAATTCTTCTACCAGGTAGTATCATTTTAAATAGTGTTTAGAGTTACACAATAATTATGAAATGAAACACATTTAAAAAAAATATATATATATATAGCCATATTCCAATAAACCATTCTATTATATGACAAATCTGCTTTATAAATAAACAAGGTTACATTTCATATGAAAACCAATAACACCGTGAAACCAACCAAAACCAAACATAGTCAATTTTAACTTGATTTAATAACATATTTTAATTCGTACTCTATTGCTTAGAGTACTTTCCCTCTCTTTTCAAATTTAGGTTAAGAGACACACTTTAGTCTATAGTAAGTATACCATGTCTGACTAATATCAAGCTAAAAATATGGAAATAGCGAAAAACTGGACTTGTCCATTCCATATGTTTTCCCTGCCATTGTTACTACACAACATCAATAAATTCCAACACATATACTAGTGACTCCTTGAAATTCCGTTAATAGATGTCTATAAACATGTGGTTTTTGCATTCTTAAAACGAAATATCACAGCTTTTAACAGTCACACAGCCACGGATGGGCAAAGGGCACGGGATATTGGAATCTTTCACTTGGCAGTTGTCCAGGTATGGATCAAGAAATACAAAGTTTGGAATATCTTGGGTTATACTTGCCCTCCTTTGCCCCATGATGTAGATTTGTCCATTGACGGAGGCGCATCCCATGAAAAACTTCCGGTTGAGGCATTCCTTGTCAATTATTGTCCATTCTTCAGTGCAAAGATCAAACCGAAGAGCCTTGCCGCCAATGGTATATATCACTCCATTGAGGAATGTGGCACACAAGTCATACCTAAAAGAAAGGTGCTAATTAGCTGAAAATGTGACCGATATTATGCAGTACTTTATCAGTGACTTGATATCCATGACTTGAAGTGCCCATAACTGGGCTAACACTGTAGTCTCCTCTGCACACTCACACTAATAAACATATAGAGACATCCGAATATACATACCCAGCCCACTGAGATAATTGTCTTGGGATGTGAGACATTTTATGTTGTATTAGTCTAACTCGGAGATTTCCAAATCATGGTGTCAAGCATTTTGGGGAATCAGGTAGATTACAATACATTTTGCCACAGATTTGAAAATGCCCTGTGAACAGAATACCAGCTGGTGAGGATGAGTGTAAGTGCATGGATTGTGTGCCTTGTTAGAGAAGGGTTTAGTTAACGCAGAGCCATAGGCTTTCTTCATTCTTCAAAACTCGTAAGTGGCTACCCAAGTTGTCTTTTGGGTTAACTATGGACCTTGTAATCAATGAGAAAGAATTTGGCTATTGGCTGTGGGTGAAGGGAATGGACTATTTACTATGCGTGGGAATGGGTTACTGGATATATGTTTGGGAATGAGAAACTAGCAATGGGAAGAAGTTGATTATGGAATACAGGCAGTGAGGGGTACAAGCACATACCTTCACATATATAGCCACTCAATCTAAATGGATTGTACACTGACTCTAAGTACACATATGCTCCTGCATTGATGCATACTGATCCGTCCCACATATATGACACTAATTAATACACTCCAATAAATGCCACACATATACCCTGGCAATTACTCACACAGACTCCACCTACACTTATGCCCTACCATTCACCCACAAACCCTCCTACACATACGTCCCTGCATTCATTTAGACCAACCACTGTGGTATTCACATGCTGAACATGCAGATTCACAGAGACAAAAAAGTTAATTTGAGTTGGGCCCACTCATATTGGTGCTACACAATTCATTCATCTACCCCAAAGAATTTGGACATAAAGTAATTGACATCCTATATGTTTCTCCTAGAACACATACTAAAGTATAAAAATGGATTGCACATCTAATACTAAGCTCTTTGCTCACAGCAATATAATATTTTCTTGGCTTGTATACTCACATACCTGGGCATCGGAGAATAAGAGATCACAACCCACTCGTCAGTTTCTGTGTTAAGTCTCTGTACTCCGCTGTAGACATCCCCATTCTCATCGCGGCCACATATGACATACAAATTGGATCCTGCACTGGTGGCCGCAGCTCTTTCTACTGGTCTAATGAGAGGGCTACGGCTCTCCCATTTCATATCTGCCAGGTCCAAACACTCTACATCTGCTATCACACTTTCATCTGTACTTCCTCCAATTGCATAGAGTTGGTGCCCAATCCCCACAGCACAATGGCAATTCCTGGACATTTTCATGGGTGGACCATCAACCCAAGAGTTTGTGGAAGAATCATAAATGACCACACAGTCTATACTGTACCATACAAAATCTCCTCGAAAATATCCACCAGTCACAATCATCAGATTTCCTGTGAAGAGAAACATGATAGAGATTATCAATAGATACATTGTTATTGATTATAGTCTTAACTAGTGCTATACAAGTGTACTATTCTACAAACGTTCTAGATCTTCACAGGCCGTGCCTTGCCATTTGTAATAAAGAAATCAATTAATTTGGCTTTTGACTTTTCATTTAGCAAAACACAAGAATTAGTTTTTTATTGAAATCTCAAAATTGGAAACGGTAGACGATAATTTTAGAATATGTCATATTACAATCTATCGTAAAGTTGACAATTTGAAGATGAATTTATATATTTTTTAGATCTACAGATGTAAAACTCTTGCTACATTTTAATAGTTAACATCCTCAAGGATCAATCCAGGCTCGGACTGGCCAACAGGCAAACTGGGCAAATGCCTAATGGGCTGTGATGGCCATGGCCCTTGGCTAACAGGAGAGTTCAGAGAACAATCACTCTGCCCAGAAATTGGTGGTTCCACCCAAATTATGGCAGGTCAGCTGGGCATCACCAGGCAGGCTAATCCACTGAGTACAGACTCTGCAGACGCTGAACATAGCACAAGTGCATCTAATGAGGACATCAGGAAACTAAGTAAGGACAGTACCCGCAAATGGAAACTGTCCTGCCAAAATTGGCCAAAATCGGGATGGTTGGGAGGCCTGTATTTATGTAGGACCAACCTATATTGGCATACTTTGAATTGTGGTTGGCTTAACCCCTTAAAGGGACACAATAGGCACCCAGACTACATCAGCTCATTGAAGTGGTCTGGAAACAGTGTCCCTAAGCTTAAGTTTTTTTTGGTGACTACAGTGTCCCTTTAATAATAATTGCTGTCATTTCAAACTGTTGTGAAAAACACTGAATGTAAATCCTTTTTTTAAATGTAAATCATTACTAAACCCATTTTAATTGCAAGTTGTAAGACATTTAAGTGTGAATAAGTGTAAGGGGGTGAAAAATAATGAATGTAAAGAAAATATTATTTATATTAAGAAAGTGCATGCATCTTTATTACTTACAGCTCCTGAGTTTTACAAAGTAACAATAACAACTGTCTTATTTGCATACCAGTATAAAAAAAAAAAATGGACAAAATAGTTAATCTAGGGTCACTTTGAGTACCATAACCACTGTAGCACTCTGTAATGAGGACAGGAGTCATCCTGGGGCTTTACCATTGGTAAGAGTCAAACCAAACAGTTTAACACATGCCTGAGTCCTTTGGGTGCCTGTGGCTCAGCCCCTCTTCACAGATTTTGCAACACTGGATCTTGACACTCAGGCTACCCAAGTAAGTGTCAAAGTAACGCTGGAATGGCCTCGGGGGACCCCGGCACCATAACCACTTCAGAGTATCATAGTGATTATAATACTTAGAGTGTCCCAATTATACAGGTTTATTCAATAAAGTGAAAATCCAAAGTGAACATAAAACCTAAAGCCAAAGTAGTTTTTTCTAGAAGTATTCCTGAATTTTTCCAGTTTAGATTTTTTTTTTACTATGAATTTGAAATTCACTTTAAATTCTCACTTTAGCGAATAACCCCATAACATTCCTTTATCATTTAGACAGAAACAAAGCAAATGGCTGAAGGAAAATTATTTAAGGTAATAAATGAATATTTTATGAACATGTTGCCATGGAAACATTTTTATCAGATAAGGGTGTATAAATTAGCCTGAAGGGGCCAAAAGGTGTTGGACATGGGCAACCAACCATCAGTCCTTGGTCCCCTACTGTTCTCCATCTATACTGCCTCCCTTGGTAAACTCATTAGCTCCTTTGGCTTCCAATATAATTTCTATGCAGATGACATGCAAATCTCGCTGCCTAGGTGTTCTCTTTGACTCCGACCTCTCCTTCAAGCCTCATGTTCAATATATCGCCAAATCCTGTCATTTCCATCTAAAAAACATTGCGCGCATCCGCCCCTACTTAACGCCTGATGCGACTAAGGTGTTGGTCCATTCCACTGTCCTTTCTCGCCTTGACTACAGTAATCCGCTTCTCAGTGGGCTTACGTGCTCCCAACTGGCGCCGTTACAGTCCATAATGAATGCAGCGGGAAGGCTCATCTTCCTATCCGCACGCACCTCCCATGCCTCACCCTTCTGTCAATCCCTACATTGGCTTCCTATAAAATATAGAGCTCAATTTAAAATTCTGGTTCTTGCTTTCAAATCTCTACATAATGCTGCTCCCACCTATCTATCCTCCCTTATACACAAGTATGTCCCGTCTAGGCCCTTACGATCTGCTGAAGACTTACGTCTATCTTCTGTCCGTACTCCCACCTCTGATGCTCGCCTTCAAGATTTCTCGAGGGCTGCACCGTTCCTGTGGAACTCGCTTCCCTCCTCCGTTAGATGCTCACCCAGTCTCCACTCCTTCAAAAAATCGTTAAAAACCCACTTCTTCATAAAAGCGTATCCATTAAACTGTTAATAGCTCCTGACTGATTCCTCTTCTGCAACTGTCACTAGTCTAATACTATCCTTACCTTTTTGTGTCATTTTACCCCACTCCCTCTAGCATGTAAGCTCATTGAGCAGGGCCCTCAACCCCTCTGTTCCTGTGTGTCCAACTTGTCTGGTTACAACTACATATCTGTTCGTCCACCCATTGTAAAGCGCTGCGGAATTTGACGGCGCTCTATAAATATCATAATAATAATAATACATATCACAGATGGCCTTGTCTCACCCCAAGGGCAAAATATATATTGCAATCTCCATCTCCAAATAAATTTTTATTTCAAGTGAGATACATCTATATGTATCAACATTTTGGTTAAAAACATTCCAGTAATGTATTTCGAAGAGCACCCAAATCAGCAATTTTTGTTGGAATTATATATTAGTTTCTAGATATCCCCCATCTCTACCATCACCACCACTGCAGATGGTTTGGTGTCCTTATGGATTTTCTACTTATGTGTGCCATGATTACCACATTTATATTTTAAAATAAGAGTTACCTACTGTTGCCACTGCATAATGAGTGAGATTTTTACGCAGCAGAGGTGAGCAGGCTTTCCACGAGGAGCTTTTTGGAAGAAAAACGTAGAGATCCTGTTGCTCCTTTTCATGCTTTCCTCCTAGAACAAATAAGGTCTCGTAAGTCCTACTTGTGGACATAGTCTCATCCATGGTGCTCCATGCCTTGGGGAGATTGGTGTTTAAAGTCTGCAATAGTCTAACATAGGCATTCCGGCCTTCTGTACTCTTACTTCTTCGGACTAGTGTATCGAGAAAAGAGAGGCTAAGGAATGCAGGTCTCACCAGTGATACCATATCTTCAAAGTCCTTCTCTCGGATTGGGTCTGCCATGACCCACTTCATGACAGCCTCAAATACTAGGTCTTCATTGGAAACAAAAAGGTCATCTGAATTCAGCAGTTGCACAAAGGTTTCCTTATCAAGTTGGTTAAATTCATCTTCGTAATCATTCATAAGATCTGGCAAGTGTGTGAGGGCCACATTGAAAGCAGATTTCAAGAGCTCCGGGCAAGCGTATTGCCGAGAATAAGATATCATGTCCAAGCAGTTTGACACACGTAGTTCATGGGCTAGAAATCCGACACAGAGCCCCTTAGCTTTCTGTAAATCTAAAAAGTCTGCCGTTTCTAAGATATCAGTGACATTCCACTTATTTATTTCAATGGTGCCTTTGTTGACAAAATCAAGGAGCATCTGAAAACATGCTTCGTCTATTCCTTTAAGCTGTATTTTATGCTGACTGCTTTCCTTGAATCCACCATAAAACAGCACATCAAAATATCTACTTTGTGCAGCTAGGACCGATCTGTCCACGTGGTAATACCTCTGTTCGATTTCAAGAATGGTGTCATTCAGTGGATCCATTGTAATCTAAAGCTTTTAGTTGGTGGCTTTTTTTTTTTGGCCACTATTAGAGTTGACTTAATTTATTGAATTGTATATGGTTGACTGAGTTTATTTTAGTCAACATAATTCAGAATTTACACGATACAAAGAAGGGCAACATGTTTCTAAAAAAAAAAAAAAAAACATTACGCAGTTTAAGTATGGAACTGGATAGAGACTAAAAATATTTGTAAAAATATCTAGGAATCTCTAAACTTTTAAATATAATATGTTTAATATTTTAGAATTCTGCGTTAAATCAAGATTAGCCCTAGATGTTAAATTCTAAAATAAACCAAGGACTCTCAAATAATTCAAAACTGTATAAGAACTATTAGGGAAAACATATAATATATATATAATATTGTAAATATAGATATCTAGACATAAATGGTGAATAAATGTATTGCGGAACAAAGTAATTATATCTCTGCTGTGCTAATGAGTAGAAAAAATAATGAAAGTGATATGGGCAAATGGAATATTTTGGTAGTAGCTATAAGACAGTGTTCTGTTTGACTGTCGGCTGCTATTTCAAGACCCCAAATCTAAAACAGGCATGCATATAGCACTCACAGATTCATAACAGCGAATGTGATCCAGGATATCTCGATGTACTTCATTAACACTTCATTCTTGTATTGCAGGATAGGACACAATTTCTTTGCTAAAACAAACCGTAGGGTTTTGCTACTACAGAGCTGTATCTATCACTGACTGTAGCATACTGTGCGTTTTGTATAATCAGCAGTTCCAAAAATAACTGTCTTTTCCTTTGCTTCTGTGCCTGTCCTTCATTCGTCTTGCGACAAACATATGAATTGAAGGGACAGTACTGAAATAAATTACACCGTTGTTAAGTTAAGAGACTCCCAAAGTAAATTTTTTTAACTTTATCTTTTAACTATCAATGCATGGAGAGCAGATTATTTTTATCAAATACTCCAAAGGAGTATTTGATAAAGATAAAATCTTTATGACATTTTCATATTGGCTGTGTTGGAGTTTCACTGAAATTCCCACCCAATCAAAAGATATACTGAGACAAAGTAGGACCTACTTTGGACACTCCCAGACTGTAAAGGTGCGGGTTTAGGCATCCTTTTTTAACCCTCAATGTACCTTTCAACCTATCCTCCCTACCCCTACCCCTGCCCTTTCCTTTACTTCCTTTGAAGTTCACACTGTCCACATATATCCTTTGAGAATTGCCATCATCTATCCCCCCACCCCTTCCCCCCTTGGTCATCCTAGACTATTCATTAAACACTTTTCTTCCTGGCTACCCCACTTTCTCTCCTCTAGCACTCCTTCCCTCATAATTGGGGACTTTAACATCCCAATCAACAACCTCAACTGCTCTGATGCCTGCTGTCTGCTCTCTGTAACCTCCTCCTTTGGCCTCACACAGTGGTCTACTACAGTAACTCATACAGCAGGAAACACACTTGTCCTCATATTCACCAATCTCTGTACTACCTCTAATTCTCCAATGTTCCATTTCCTCTATCTGACCACCATCTACTGACCTTTGACATCAGCATACCCGTACCCAAATTTCACCCCCTCTACTCTCTTATCTTGCAGAAACCTCCACTGCATTAATCTCCAGCATTTCTCCTCCAAACTCTCCTTTTACCCATCTCAAATCTCACCTGCCCTAACTCTGCAACCCCACTCTATAACTCCACTCTATCCTCTCAACTAGACATCATGGGATCTCCTACATTTAAACGCTGTAAGTGTTCCCAATTACAGCCCTGGCACACCAAGCTGACCAGATATCTAAAATATTTTTCCAAAACTGCTGAAAGCTGTTGGAGAAAGTCTCACTCTGCACCTGACTTAATCCACTATAAATTCATGCTGCGTTCCTACACTCATTCCTCTGCAAAAGTAAATTACACCCTCATAAGCACTCTGTCCCACCAACCCAAATGCCTTTTTCACACTTTTAATGCTCTCCTTTGCCCTGTTGCTCCCCCTCCTCCTACCACCGTGTCCGCCTCAAACTTTGCAACTCATTTCACTGAGATTTCTATAATCAGGGAAGAGATCTCTAACTTCTCTCTCTCCCCTTCCAATACATCACCCAACTCCACTCACTCCACTGTTCTATGCTCATTCGCACCTACTACAACTGAAGAGGTTTCTGCTCTGCTCCGGTCCTCCCGCCCCACCCCCTGTTCCCTCAATCCTATTCCCTCATATCTCATCCGCACTCTGTCACCCTTTCTTGCTCTTCCTCTCACTAAAATGTTCAATCTCATTCTTTCCTCCGGCATATTTCCTTCACCCTTCAACCATAACACCAATTCTGAAAAAGCCCAACCTTGACCCCAACTTCCCATCCAACTACCGCCCTATATCACTACTGCCGTTTGCCTCCACCTATCTATCCTCCTCGAATCCAACTCTCTACTTGACCCGCTTCAGTCTGTATTCCGTGCTCACTCTGTTGAAACATCTCTGACCAAAGTATCCAACGATTTAATCGCTGCTAAATCGCGCGGCCATTACTCTGTCCTAATTCTCCTCGATTTTTCTGCTGCCTTTGACACTGTTGATCATAAACAGCTTCTTCTCATTCTCTGTAATCTCAGTCTACAAGATACTGCTCTCTCCTGGTGCCCCTCCTACTTCTCCCAGCGCTTTTTCAGTGTTTCTTTCTCTGGCTCTAACTCTTCTCCCCAACCCCTCTCTATTGGTGTTCTCCAAGGTTCTGTCCTTAGTCCCCTACTGTTCTCCATCTATACTGCCTCCCTTGATAAACTCATCAGCTCTTTTGGCTTTCATTATCATTGATATGCAGATGACACACAAATCTACCTGTCCTCTCCTGATCTCCCTCCCCTCATCTTGACTCATGTCTCTGACTGACTCTCCACGATTTCTAACTGGATGGCTGCTCCCTTCCTTAAACTCAGCCTGTCCATAACAGAATTTCTGGTCTTTCCTCCCTTTAGTGTTGCTACTCCCGTGTCTCACTCCCTCCAAGTCAACGGCGCCACCATCACCTCTACCTCGCAGGCTCGCTGCCTAGGTGTTCTCTTTGACTTCAACCTCTCCTTCTCCCCTCATGTCCAGTCGATCGCCAAATCCTGCTGCTCCATCTCATAAACATAGCTCACACCTTATTTAACACCAGGTGCGTCTAAGGTGCTGGTCCATGCCGTTGTTCTTTCTCAGTGGTCTTACGTGTTCCTAGATTGCACTGCTGCAATTAATAATGAATGTGGCAGCAAGGCTCATTTTCCTGTCTGCCTACACCTCCCACGCCTACCCCCTCTGTGAGTCACTACATTGGTTTAGTTAGATATAGGACTCAATTTAAGATTCTGGTGCTTGCTTATAAGTCCTTACATAATGCTGCTCCAACCTACCTATCCTCCCTAATACACAAGTATGTCCCGTCAAGACCCCTGCGCTCTGCCAAAGACCTACGTCTATCCTCTGTCCGTACTATAATAATGCACCCTGCAGAAATTGTTCATAAATGGTTTGTGGAACATAAATACTAGTCATGGCCTCCAAATTCTCCAGATCTCAAGCCGACTGAGTATCTGTGAAATGTGCTGGAACAACAAACACGATGCAACTGTGTCATCCGATCTGGGGAACTAACCCTACATTTTCCATGTACATTAAATATATCCTACCCTTACCTCTTGCATCTTTAGCCCACTCCCTCAAGAATGTAAGCTCATTTGAGGAGGGCTCTCAACACCATCTGTTCCTGTGCGTCCAGCTCATCGTGTTGCAAATATGTCTGTTAGTCCACCTATTGTATAGAGCTGGAGAATTTGTTGGCACTTTATAAATAATAACATGTGTAATCTAGTTATACTCCTCAGAAGTCAGTTGTGAATGACTAATTGTACTTCCTAGCATTTTCTTTCAGCCTTGCCACCACTTCAGTCTATTTGTTTCTCATGTCTGAGTTCCTTGTGCAAGGTTGGCCCACTGGTGAAACAACAGCAGACAAAAGCTTCTATAACGAGGTTCCATACTTGTGCTTTGCAACATATACTGGAAATTCACGTTTACCTGCTCTAGTTACAACTAGAGTTTGGCCCATGAACTATTTCTTGGTCTGGAACCTCTCCAGTTTGCAGATGTTAAGTTGAAGGCTAAAGCTGAGCTGGAGGAAGGAGAGCTTTTATCAAGCAAAACCCATGCCATACACCATGCCTGGACCCTTGATGCTGTGTACCATGTAATTCCAGTGTGTGACATCTACAGACTAAGGTTTGTTAGAGGGCTACACTAAGCATCAAAACAGTTTTATTTAAATGAAGCTGGTACGAGGTATAGATCACACCCATGCAAACCAGGACTTAAATGACTATGTTTCAAGTTTACATCACAGGGTAGTTACTTTACAAGTTTTTAGCTCTTGCTTTGTTAACTGAACTTTTGTCACACACAGGTGGTTGCTGCAGGCTCTTGCATTTTTACAATATATTCTTCAGGGAACTGAGAAAATATAAATTTTAAAAAAATACAGATGGTTTCTGAAATCTTCAGACTACTGAAAGAGACACTGTAGGCATCAAGACAACTCTAGCTTTAAAAAAGGCAATTTTGGTGTATAGATCATGCACCTGGAGTCTCGCTGTTCAATTCTCTGCCATTTGGGAATTAAATCACTTTGGTAATGCAGTCCTAGTGACACAACCCTGCATGTAAGGTGCAGAGCCTTCCTAAACACTAACTGTAAAATGAGATCTAATGTTTATATTTCCTTTATTAATTAAAATGTTTGTTTCATTCAAAATGTATTATCTCCAGGACTGTTAATAGCGTGCTAGACCTTGCAGGAGCCTCCTGTGTGTATTCAATTTACAGAGCATGAGCTAAACACTTCTAAAGTTAAAGGACCACTATAGTGCCAGGAAAACATACTCCCTGGAAGGGGGAAAAGGGTAAAAACTTACCTTTTTCCAGCACTGGGCGGGGAGCTCTACTAATCCTCTCCGCCCCGTCGGTTGAATGCGCACGCACGGCAAGAGCTGCGCGCGCATTCAGCCGGTCACATAGGAAAGCATTATCAATGCTTTCCTATGGACGCTGGCGTGCTCTCACTGTGAAAATCACAGTGAGAAGCACGCAAGCGCCTCTAGCGGCTGTCAATGAGACAGCTGCTAGAGGGAGGGAAGGCTTAACCCATTCATAAACATAGCAGTTTCTCTGAAACTGCTATGTTTATAAAAAAATGGGTTAACCCTAGCTGGACCTGGCACCCAGACCACTTCATTAAGCTGAAGTGGTCTGGGTGCCTAGAGTGGTCCTTTAACATCTGATTGAAAATGAAACCTTTTTTACATGGATGCGGTGTCAGTCACTGCCAGAGGACGCATGGATAGAACTGCTTGGAGAGAAACAAAAGTGATTTAAGTCTTAAATGGCAGAAAATTGATCATTGACACCAAAACTGCTTCCTTAAGTTAAAGCAGTTACTATAGTTACAGTTACTATAGTTACAGTGACTAATGACCCTTTAAAACTTTGCATTCTTTGACTGGCGAGTGATTTATTTTCCAATTTAGTAGTCAAAGGCCTAGTGAAAGTTGCATAATTATAAAAAGTCTTATGTATTTTTTTCTACACCTGACAAACCTTGACAAAATGCCAGCTACTTCCACTCAAGGATTATTCAATGCTTTCCTACGGGGATTCCGGCGACGTTGGAAGTCCTCATGCATAGCGTGAGGACGCCCAGCCTCGTTTAGACGACCAAAAGTCATTTAAGAACCCGGAAGTTCCTCTAGTGGCTGTCTGATAGACAGCCACTAGAGGAGGACTTAACTCTGCAAGGTAATTATTGCAGTTTAAGGGTGATGGGAGTTGGCACCCAGACCACTTCAATGGGCTAAAGGGGTCTGGGTGCCTACAGTGTCCCTTTAAGGAACCTATAGCTCTGAAAATAGATTGATATCCAACGTTCACCCCACTTCCCTCTACAAAAATTAAAGTTTGATTGCAGAAAGGGGTGCGGGGAGACAGCGCCTGTAGAATTGTTCTCAGATATAGTGATATATAGAATGAACAAAGAAACTTAATATAGTGTAGTATATTCAAAATCTTGGTGGAGTATAGATAACAGAAATGCACTTACAATTTTCTGGAGCTTATGGTCAGCCCCATATTGATGCGCATGGACGGTACAATCCCCATCTGTGGATATAATGGTAGATCCAGGTACTTCTTGGTGAGTTTTTTTGTTCTTAGGCTGTGAATTGTTGTACCACTGGTTGGCAGTCAGATGTCAGAGAGCAAATACAGGTATTGCTCAATCTTATAAGGCTTGGGTGGTATGATCCCCACCGAGGATTTTCCTGTGAAAATCTTCAGGATAAAAACAAAACAAAAATATATATATATATATATATATATATATAATTTTTTTTATTTTTTTTTCAAAGAGAGGTCTAGCGTCTCCAAAGCAGTATAAAACAATAAGCTTTATTTGGAAATAAAAGGTGTAAAATTGATAACACTAACGCGTTTCTTCTTTAACAGGCTTTTTCAAAGTGTTTTGAAAAAGCCTGTTAAAGGAGAAACGCGTTAGTGTGATTATAAAAAAAATTATATAATTTTTATCCTGAAGATTCTCACAGGAACATCCTCGGTGGGGATCATACCACCCAAGCCTTATAGGATTGAGCAATACCTGTATTTGCTCTCTGTTTGACATCTGTTGACCAGTGGCACAACAATTCACAGCCTGAGAACAAAAAAAAAAAAAACTCACAAAAAAGTACCTGGATCTACCATTATATCCACAGATGGGGATTGTTCCGTCCATGAGCATCAATATGGGGCTGAACATAAGCTCCAGAAAATTGTAAGTGCATTTCTGTTATCTATACTCCACCAAGATTTTTAATATACTACACTATATTAAGTTTCTTTGTTCATTCTATATATCACTGGATCTGAGAACAATTCTACAGGCGCTGTCTCCCCACACCCCTTTCTGCAACCCAACTACACCACCAGAAAGAAGAGACTCTGGCTAGGGAAGACCAAGCTGCCACATATACAAAGCACAGGTGCCAAAAGTCCATCCCCTCATTATTCCAAAAATTTAAGTTTGCTTGTCTCGTTTCCAGTACCGGGATCCTTTCGCTGTGAATTAAGCTCCTCCCCGGTTGATGTCAGCATTCAAGTTGACATCACCCATAATCTTCTCCAATCAGTCAATGAAACTAGGCATGCACAGTCTAATGCTGTGCTCTTACAATAAAATGCTGCTATCAGAATTTGATTCCAAGACCGTGTTATCTCCGTTCTAAAGGAGGAAGTGCCTCTAGTGGCTGTCAGGAAGTAAATAGCATTGTTTTACATTGTAGAATTAAAGTGACAGGACCACTGAACCCAGACCACTTAATTGAGATAAAAGTGGTCTCTGTGACTTAAGTAGTCTTTTAAATTGTAATACAATTTTTACTGTGACAGTGAGGTCCTAGATCACCTAATAGTATTGCATGAATGTCTGTTTTAGAAAAGAGTAAAACTGGAATATCCAGTGGGTAAACACAGCATTACAGTTAAAGGGACACTAAGCACCAAAACACCTTTAGCTTAATGTAGCATTTGTGGGAATACGATAATTTCCCTGCAGTCACACTGCTACATTCTCTGCCATTTAAAAAAAGAGTTAAATCTCTTTGTAAATGCAGCACAAGGCACACATTGCCTGTCTCACACAGGTTTCCTACACACTTCTAGAAAGAGATGAAATTGTTTAGCTTCTCTTACTGTACAGTGTGTTTAATTTTGAATCTCCTGCTCTGTTAATTGCCTATAACCACCTCCTGTGTGTGATTAAAGTTTAACTAACAGAGCAGGAGATAAGAACTTCTGAACTTCCACAACACTATGCTGTAAAAATGAAACAGTTTTTTTATATTGAGACCGTATGTGTCACAGCTAGGGGAGGGGTGGCTAGGGCTACATACACAGCAGAGAAAGACCCATAGATGATAGAGCAACAGAAGAGAATAGAGCCGAAAGAATGCAGGGACACTATACACCAAAACTGCTTCATTAAGTTATGTTGGTGCTTGGAGACAGAAAGAGACACAGAGATTGTAAGAATAATTCAAGAAACGCTTCCTGATTGAATTTAGATTGGCAGCATTTGCAATCAAACACTATTGCAATGAATGAAGATGAGAAGCTGGAGGTGTTAGAAAAAGTGTTGCTACCTTTCAGGACTGATTTCTACTTTATCATTCAACTAGAATACTATTTAAGAAAATATATTTAACTGGGTTTTAATGATAATGATCAAGCACTGAAACCAGAACACAGTGAGCCCACATAGCATGTAGAAATATATAAAAGACAAGACAGCAAATATTTGATGGCTGAGCACGGGCTTATACAACACCAAGACCTAGAGGAAGACATGAACAAAACTAGAATATTTATTACATAATGCAAGTCCTGACTTGACTAAGCTAGCATATTTTAGTCATCACAAAAAAATAAGAGACAGATTTTCTTTTAGTATTAAAAAAAAAACAAAACCAAAAATAAAATAAATCCCACCAACACAAAAATCATAATCTTCAACTTGAAGTATGGTATATCCCAAAGGAATCTGGTTACATTGGACCTGAGGCATAAAGTGATGTTCAATATGGGACATTAACCATCCTGCTGTTGAACAAAAGGGTTAGGGATAGCCTCCATGCCATCCTGCGGGCAAATTAGAACCACAGATGTCCCTCTGCAAACCACAAGTCCTAGCTGTCTTGTGTCCTCTGTTAGTTTGTACTGGTCATCTGGATCTGCAGACAACAAATGAAGTATAAACACAGTTAATACAATAAAAATAAATGAACCATCGTCAATAACACACAGTTCATCTCCAACATACTTTGTATCAGAAATGGTGAAGTCTGCCACAGTACAAAGCTACATTTTGCAAATCATACTTAATTATGCTCACCTCTCATGTATTCTATGGTGCCGTCTAATACAAGGTTTAGTAGAGGATCAAACCCTTTCAGGACGCCACTGGCTAGGAGAACAAGGAAAGAATCACATATTTGCTATAGGTCACCTAAATATAAAAGACCTGCACAAATGTTGCAAGCAACTAACATGACGTTGGTTTCTGGTAGCCTGTGACAAATTCTAGTTCACTAAAAGTAGTGAGAGACTAATGTCTACCGGGTCTTGGAATCAAGCTGGGTTTGTACTGCACTACCAGGGCTACATGCCACCAGCTTATCAATATTTATGAAAATGCAGTGTTTACATTGCTGCCTAAATCCATCTCTAGTGGCTGTCACTCAGGCATTTCTTAAAACATGGATATAAAACTGTAGCTTTAGGATAACATGTTTGCATTCCAAGAGCTTTAGTGCTCCTTCAATCACAAGTACAAAGCACTACTTCACAAACAAATCCAACGTAGTAGTACCTTCTCTTCCACCCTGGAATTTCACTCGGATTGTCTTATCTATGTACTTGGAGAGGTCAAGAATGCTCTCTTTTTTCTTCTTTTCCTTATCCTGAAAAACAAGAGAGCCATCAAATTAAGAAATACAATCCCATTTTCCTAATGCCTGTTTCTAGGAGACAACTAAAGAATGCATCCTTACAATTGAATGTTAGGAATTTAGCAATAGCAGTAAT